TCCCTGGTATGAAACGGAGTGTCGCTCGACCGGCTCGATGAGCTCGAGGGGTTCAACAGCTCGATCGAATCGATCGCGGTAGTTGAAATTGATAGAAAGAAGAGTCGAGTGGGTTCAAGAATGACCTATGCAGAAGCTGGGATAGCTCCGAGTGGAGGAGGAGAGCCAGTCAAGAGTGAATTAGCTCATCAACCACTGAATACTTCTGGGGATGGGATGGACGCTGCCGGAAGGCGGAAACCATGGGAGGGCAGGGGAAGTTGTGCATTATTATGTAAGGTCTAGGTAGAATATACTATCATTTTGAAAGGTTATGGTGTAAGTTATGCAAGCTGAGTCATCAATAGAGTACCTGCAATCTCCATCATGTCACGGGAACCCACGTGAAGTCCCAGGTCGAGGTGCGTCTGAGTAGCCAATCATATTACGACTATTGATTCACCGCCTGTTTAGTGTTTTTCTGCCTTTTTTTTTTTTTTTTTGTCGGGATGAAAGAAGATGATCAAGACCCAATCTCAGCCCAGTCCAGCGCCTTGTTTTGTTTCCCTCGTTTCTAAATTAAACTACGGTGCAGCAATTAATCACCATGGCTGGTCAAAAAGGAAAGAAGTCTTCTTCGACGAAGTCCTCTCAGGACAAGAAAGGGGTAAGATCAGCCTTATCTCAATGATTCACATATGGGAGAGTTCACTAACACCCATCGCGAACCTCCAGGCTAAGGCTACGGCACTCCCTCCCACGCAACTTGTCGCTGCGGTCGATGCCTTCCTGACGGAGTTTGGATTCTCCAAGGCTCGTGAGGCATTTGCCAAGGAACAGGCGAGCAAGTCGATCAAGGGCGATTCCAAGAACGCGCCGTCGTTGGTGGAGGTTTTCAAGACCTGGGAGGGTCAGGGAAATGGGGCGAAGACGACCAGCAGCTCGAGCGATTCCAGCAGCAGCGATGAGGGCTCTAGCGACTCCGATGTCGCCATGAACGATGCGCCCAAGTCTAAGAAACAGTCCAAGAGCGCCTCCTCTTCCTCTTCCTCCTCCTCGAGCTCCGAAAGCGATGCCGACGATGAGGATGAGAACAAGGCAGCCGCCAAGTCCCCTGCGAAGCCGAACAAGCTGAAGCGCAAGGCTGAATCCAGCAGCTCCTCGTCTTCCGAGTCGGACTCCGAGTCTGATGCAGCTCCCAAGAGCAAGAAGACGAAGCTGTCGGGTAAGAAGGCTGCCAGCTCGTCTTCGTCTGACTCGTCCTCGGACTCTTCCTCCGACTCGGAATCTTCGGACAGTTCTTCTAGCTCTTCTTCCTCTTCGTCTTCTTCGTCGTCGTCTTCTTCCTCCTCTTCCTCTTCTTCGTCCTCTTCTTCCTCTTCCTCTTCTTCCTCCTCTTCCTCTTCCTCTTCTTCGTCTTCGTCTTCCGACTCTGATTCTTCCTCCGAATCCGACTCCGACGATGATAAGAAGACCCTGAAGAAGGCCGCGAAGACCCCGCTGCCCCCCTCCGACTCTAGCTCCAGCGGGTCCTCCTCCAGCTCGTCCGAGTCGGATAGCGACAGCGGCAAAAAGGGCAAGAAAGCATCGTCCTCGAGCGCCTCCAGCGATTCCACCACTACCCTCCAGGAATCTGACAACGCGGCCCCCAAGTCCGCCGAGCAAACCACCTCTTCGAGCGCCAGCCCCGCCCCTGGCAACGGTCCCGCCAAGAAGAGACACACCGGCGCCCGCCCCACCCCCCTGGCTCTCCTCAGCGAGCAGGCCCACGACCACCCCTCCAACGATTACATCTCTTACGCCTACGCCGAAAAGGCCTACAACGACCTGTCGGTCACCCGCGGCAAGGGCTTCACGAAGGAAAAGAACAAGAAGAAGCGCGGTTCCTACCGCGGCGGTCCCATCGACATGAGCGGCGGCAAGTCCTTCAAGTTCGACGACTAAATCTCCAGCCGTCCTCCTACGGAACTTTTGTCGAAACGGCAGATTGCATCTGATGAAGCGACGCGTCCTTTCGTCCACGATCATCAATACAAGTCTCACCAAAAGTTATTTTCTCGTTTAGACGAATAGATCTAGATCTACCTATTTAGATCGTCTATACTTTTCAAGCAAGGCGCTGATGGAGCTGGGATTACAAAACCAAGAAAAAAAAGACAGACAGACAGAAAGAACGAACGAACGAACGAAAGAAAGAAAGAAACGTTTTCACCTTGTCATATATAGTTTATTATGTCGTTTTACCTTTTACGCGCACCATTTTTTTTCGTCGAATACCATTTTTATCGTTTTTCCAGGCTTTCCTTATTAAACTAATCACATAGAAATATGACTCGTCTGTCTGTCTGTCCGTCTGCAGCTATGGAACTGCCAAATGTTTTCAAAGCTAATCTATTTCCCAAAGTCTAATCAAACAAACTCGACCTGGATATCAATCAATGTCTACCGCCATATATCCAATCAAGCCCAACTCCATGCCCATCGAAAAGATAAATCAATCGTCTAAACCACCCCACCAATTTTGTAACGAAAGAGAGAGAAATCAAGAAAGAACGAACAAAACCAAGTCAGCTAATCGCTACGCCTCCACGCACCAGGTTGCTCCAGACGCTCCCATCTCCGATCCCAGCCCGTTTCCCGCTCATTGGCGACGTCGTCAGCCCCGATGGACGAAAATGGCTGCTGGGTCCGCAGCTTCAGGGAGCGGGAGTGGTGCTGGGGATCTGGGCGCTCGTATCCGGATAGTTCTAGGATGCGGTCGGGGCGTCGAGAAGAGCTGTTGTCGTTGTTATTGTTGTTGTTGGTGCTGTTGCTGTTGTTGAGGTCCAGGCCGAGCTGGCTGTGGTACCATTGCCGGCAAGGGCCGGTCAGATCGTCCGTGGAGGCAAAGTCTAGTCGGAATACGCCGTCCGCAACGCCGGTGTAGATGGTTGGGGACAGGACGGAGGGCGAGGACATGGTGTAGATGGGTCCGCGGTAGCGATGTGTCGAACGGGCGCGGGGCGCATTCGTTCGAAGAGGCGGTGGGTGGGATAGGAATAGGGAGAGGCCTCCTCTGGGATGGTAGTGGTGGTGTCTTTGGGTGGTGGAATTGCGCCGGGTGGTGTGGTCGTTGTTCTGGGACACGCGGGAGGATGGTCTTGCTTCGAGGTAGTTGTAGTTCTTTGGCATGCGGAGGTCGAAGAGCTTGACTACGCCCTCGCCTCCTGCTCCGGCGGCGAAATTGTCGTACCCGAACGAATGGACGCAATATATGGGATTCTGGTCACTGGAGTCTCGGTAGATGCTCTCGAAGGACTTGTCCGAGCGGAGATCGTGGAGTCTGGATGTCTTGTTAGTTGGGCTTGCAGAACCGCGTAACGAGGGACAAAAGCATACCTAACCGCGCGGTCACCCCAGGCCGCGAGGAAGACATCCCCCGAGGGTCTCCCGCAGGCTTGTATCTCCAAAGGCGCAATTCCACTAACAGTTGGCTTGGGAGCCGGACCGAGCTGGTCTTCCAGTTCTAAGGATTCCACCCCAATCTCACGCTCTAAAGACAACCGCTCCTGGGTGACCTTAGAGATAGCTAGTGCATCGTCGGAGCGGCCGGTTTCGACTGCAAAGCGATTCGACGATAGAAATTTCGAATACTTATTTCTCTGCGAATTATAAGGATCCACCCGAATTCGGGCAAACGCGTGAACCTCGCTTTCATCGGTCGTAGTGCTGTAGAATGAGATCGCTCCGTGGCTCATGTGAGCAGCAAGAATCGGGTCAGAGCCGCTGCTCAGATCAATGCGCTCGAGTTCCGGACCGTGGGTCACAAACTTCTGCTTGTACTCCCAGGTCGCCTGGTCTGGCGCTATCGCAAGATGAAGAAGTTCGCCGCGGAGGCGGCCCAAAATCATCTGCTCCTTATCGTCCTGTTTGTTGTAGTGATCGGGTCTCAGGAGATGAAGCCCACAGATGTCGTCCAGACTACTGATGTGGTCCAGATCATTGAACACGAACCACCTCTCTTTGGGCCGTTTGTCTTGTTCTCGGATCCGCAGGACCACCTCGTCCGCTGCGCCCCAGGCCAGCACCTCCTTATGGTCTTTCCACCCAGCAACGTTCCAGGTTTCGTACGAGTCAATGGCAGGACGGTATCCAATCGTAGGATTGTCGCGTCTGCTTGCGCGGTGGGATCCGAGCTTGACGGCCTTCTTATGTGGCAACACAAATCGCCCGACTACCCCGTATCTGTCCAGCGCCCGCGACCTGGTCGTGAGAGCCTGGGCAGCATCCTTCCAAAAAGGTGAGTCCTGCACGTAAGGAAACCGACTCTTGACGAAGGCTCGAAAAATCCGCCAGTCCTCGGCTGCAACGACTGTGTGGAGGCGGTGACAGGTCTGGGCGAGATTGACCAGGGCGCTAGCGGTCGAAAAATAAGATGCTATCAGATAGATGATTTCTGGAGGCAGGTCAGGCAGAAGCATGGTTGATTCATGCAGCTGTGTGGTGAAATTAAAAAGTCAAAATGTTAATTGATATGACGTCGGTCCATATGCGACAGGATCTATGCACGAATCATAATCAGCCTTGAATTCAATTTTTCCAGGGAAGGAAGATATATCACTCACGTATCTAGATTTTCCAAGTGATTTCAATTATCCTGGATGGCTCAGGATATTGCTCCTGTTATATGTGTGGGAGTTTGGAGCTGCTATACAAAAGCACAAGGCTATGCGGCCCCGTATCGTGCTCGGCGACCACTGGAGTCAGGATCAGGATTATGACTCATCTTTCGACACTGCATATGAATCCAGACCTAAAAAGGAAACACAGTTTCGCACATTCCCTCAATTTAAGACAATGAGAATTAACAAGTCTGTTCTGTTTGGAAGGGATATGGATTGAATGTGTTGTTTTGTTGTTTTATGACAATTGGTTGATTATGTCATCGGTGCTTATCAGCATTCCTTATCGGCCTCCATTTCTCCATGCGGGGGGAGTCGAATCGAGGATGTTGGAGTCACTTTCACCTCGCTTGCTTCAATCCGGGGTCGATTATGGGGCTATGACTAACGGATTCTACTTGGGGTCACATTTGCCAGTGCATTGCAGCCTCTTAGTCTACCTAGGATTACAACTCATCCCCTATCCCGGTACTGGAAAGGCGTGGGTGGAGCAAGCTCTTTGAGGTAGGTCTATCCTGGTTTCTGTGAGGGGTTGGTTGGTCTGCATTAAGCTTTGCCTGGTTCATTCCACCCGAGGAACATCCGGTTATTTTATATTTATAAGAGAGTTCTATGTTATGCTGATACGAGAGGTTTTTGTCCCTTCGTCGGAGTCTAGTCGAGAAAATTATAAATACTGGGGCGTCTGAGACCTCCATCTACAAATCCAGCACACCATCTCTCCGATATCTTGGATAAGATTGCACCATGATAGTCTCTAATATTACACTCACCGCAGTCATTGGGCTTTGCATACTGCTGCTCTATAAATGCGTGGTATACCCAGCATTTCTGTCTCCATTGTCTAAGATTCCAAATGCGCATTGGTCAGCGCCAATATCTCCTGTTTGGATGCTCTGGAAGCGGTTTCGCAGTCAGAACAATCGGACAATCCACAAAGCCCATGCAAAGCTCGGGCCAATCGTGAGACTTTCACCGTCGGAGATCTCCATCAACTGTGTCGACGGGGGCATCAAAACCGTCTACTCCGGCGGGTTTGAAAAGCATGAGTGGTACCCCCGGGTTTTCGGGTCTCTTGGGTAAGTGGGTGGCGTTGTCAATCTATGGTAGTTAGAAAATGGAAAGTAAGCTGATACCAGTGTATTTGTACAGGACTGTCAGTATGTTCACCATGACTGGCAGCAAGACCCACTCGACCCGCAAGAGGATGATGTCCAGTATATACAGCAAGTCGCACTTGCAGTCGTCGCCGCACATGCGACTAATCTCCGAAGAGATCCTATATAACCGCCTGCTACCTCAGATTCAAACCGCAGCGTCCGGTAATCACCCGGTTGAGGTCCATGATTTGAACCAAGGAATAACCATGGACTTCGTGTCTTCTTATCTCTTCGGTCTGGCAAATGGGACCAACTTCCTCAAGGATCCGACTGGCCGGCAGAAGCTGCTGGAGCTTTACCAGAGCAGGAAGCCGTACGAGTTCTACCACCAGGAAGTTCCAGATCTTCTATCGTGGCTCAAGTCAGTAGGCATCCGTCCGATCCCCAAGTGGTGCGATGCAGCGAACGAAGTCCTCGACGCCTGGGGATTGGACCTCTGTGATAAAGCCGAGCAATCGCTCGGATCGATCGACCCAAAGGTAGAACCCGCTGTCTATAAACAACTCGCCCAAGCACTCTTGAAACAGGTTCCAGTACAAGGAGAAAACCTCAAACAGCGACGCCTTGACATCGCCTGCGAGATGTACGATCAACTCACGGCCGGTTTCGAAACGAGCGCTGTCGCCCTCACCTACCTCTTGTGGGAGCTCTCTCGAAACCCAGAAGTGCAGCAAGGACTCCGTGAAGAAGTTTTGACCCTCGATCCAACACTCACCTACCCACGGCCTCAGGGATCAACTGGACTACCAGCTCCAAAATCAATCGATGCACTGCCTCTACTAGACGCCATCGTCACAGAGACCCTACGTCTGCACGCCCCCATCCCAGGAATCCAGCCTCGCGTAACGCCCTATCCGTCGTGCAGCCTCGCCGGGTATAACGACATCCCTCCCAATACAAGGGTAAACGCCCAGGCTTGGTCGCTGCATCGTAACCCAGAAGTGTTTCCCAGTCCGGAGACATGGCAACCCCGACGCTGGCTCAAGAACGCCAACCCGTCGTTGGATCTTGACGAAATGCGGCGGTGGTTCTGGGCCTTCGGCAGCGGGGGAAGGATGTGCGTCGGGAGCAATCTCGCTTTGCAGGGTAAGTGTACACAGCGGTCTATCACATTTTCAGCAATGCTAACAGTCCGCAGAGATAAAGCTGGTGGTCGCGGCCATCTATACCAATTTCAAGACGTCTGTCATTGCCGACGACGACATGGAAGAAATCGATGCTTACACGGTAAAGCCTCGCGGAGAGAGACTAATCCTGAAGTTCGAGCCCATATAGCCAGTAACAGTATGAATGAAAAGCACGCCCACGAGGGCCACCATTCCTTCAGAAGATTCAATATCCAAGATTCAAGATCCATTCCCATTCCATTGTAGCACGTAATGTACAGTTTAGCATGTATACAAAATCCCACATCACCTTACGCTGTATGTATCTCAACAACAGCATTTTGTGAAATCGCTTATCTTTAAAACGAGTAAAAGCCAGCCCGCAACTCCGATTACAAATTTATTCATTCATGGGACTTCCACCCGAGTACAGTCACTCGAGTAGAAACCCCGCCACTCCAGTCCGTCCATCACGTAGCAGCTGTGAGAAAACATGAACATTGGGTTATCTCGCATGCGATGTTTCGCGGGAACCCTCAACTGCGGTCTATCGAATGGTGTGTTTTAACGTGGGGAGGCCTATTTCTTCTTCGGGCCAACCACCTTCGGGTACATTCTCGACAAGTGGTAGTTGATAGTGTTCTGCTTGTTGGACTTGGGTCTCTGTGTTTGGAAAGAATATGGTCAGTGAAACTGTATCATCATGGGATAGGAGGGGATGCGCATATAGCGCTGCGACCGCAAGGCTGGTCACGTACCTTTTCGTCCATACATGACCGGAGTTGCTGTTCGAGAGCGCCACAGCCCTCGACGGTATACCCGGAAGAGGCCCAGCAACCTGTAAAGACAAATTGTAAGCCATCTATTCACACTAATTGATCCTCGGGCATAGCTCGAATGTCCTGTGTCGACCACCATCCGCAACCACTGCGAGATCTATTCTTCCCAACCACCATTTAGAAACAGGGAGAGCATACTCAGCATCGACGACATAATAGCCTGGCAAGGATTCAAATCTTGCCTATTCGGACGACGGACTCGCAGGTGATTGATGGTCTGCAGACGGATCGGTCTGAGCGTGGTCGTGGCGCCTTTCGGAGGCATGTTGGCGAGATAAACAAGATAGAAACTATCGCCTAGCGTCGAGAATAGAGCCGGTCAAAGCGATTGCGCTGGAGACTCGAGCAAGCAGCGATGCGGGACAGAGGGTCTAACAGAGTCGCCGAAACGGAATCCAAAAGTCCGCAGGAAACAACTTCGGAGATGCCAAGACCAGGAATTGAATTGCCCGCGGAAGCTGACGTAAACACTGACTAATGGGCCTTTCAAACCTGAGGGCTAAGGCCGGCCACTTTTGTTATCGCCGATAAGCGGGTGAGTTGCTCTTCTGGAGTTCAGTTGTTTCTATCGCCACGCTGGACGGACGTCTTAGATCGGTACACGCACGTTGTTTATTCAGAGAGATATGAGCAGAAATCTGGTGACGGCGCTTAAAGTCAACCATGTGCCCCCGCAGTACAGGAGGGCGTTCTCCGCAGTGAGCGGGAGGCGAAACAAGGTCCCCAGGGCCAACGGGGACAATGACGCCCATGAAGCTGCAAAGTCGGAGGACGGACAGGAGGAACAAGGTGCGATGGCGCGGAGATTGTCTGAGATGGCCGAGCAGGCTGTCCTGGAAGGAGGGAAATCCGCGCGCAAGAACATAGAACAGGCGGGGTTCTCAGACGAGTTGAAGAGACAGCTGGAAGAAAGAGTCGCCGCCGCGGCCTTCAAAGACGAGTATCCAGCGGCTCACTCGATACTCGATATGCCCGAGAGCGCAGGGGAAGGCACTCGAGCGACAGCCCTCGGCGAGGCCTGGACAGGAACGGAGAACATGCACGATTCCGCCCTCCGCATGCTAGACGACAGCGCAAGGAAACCGATCCGCACGCCCTACAAAATCCCCAGTCCCGTCCAGACCAACCCCGTCGATATGCGCATTACCCCCAAGCCGAAGCTGTCGCCCGGCCACCGTCTCGCCCACGCCAAGGACCAGATCGGCACATACAGTTTGAGCCAGAGCCCGGGGGTCTCGGAGCAGGAGCGCCAGGCTATGCGGAAGGAGATGCAAGAGCGGTTTACCCCCGGGGCTCGGCCGATGCCTATGTCTATCCAGGGTCTGGCGTCGCTTGCGAACGAGCAGATCGAGGATGCCATCAAGCGCGGCCAGTTCAGTTCGATCAAGAAGGGCCGCGGCGTCAACACCCAGACCGACCACAACGCTAACAGCGCGTACATCGACACCACCGAGTACTTCATGAACAAGATGATCCAGAAGCAGGAGCTTGTGCCGCCGTGGATCGAAAAGCAGCAGGAGCTGGCAAAGGAGGTGGACCGGTTCCGCCGGCGCATCAGGACCGAGTGGCGGCGTCACGCCGCCCGGTTGATCGCCAGCAAGGGAGGCACGCTGGATGCTCAGATGAGGCGTGCCGACGCATACGCCGCCGCAGAAGCCCGAGTAGCAGAGCGAGCCGCCATCGCCAAGTCATTTCGTGACGATAGCGACACCGAGACCCATCCTTCACCATCCCCTTCCCCCACCGAAACCAAACAAGAAGACACTCCCCAATCAGAAACACCATCCACACCAACAACCGAAGAAAAAGACAACCAACTCCCCCATCTCGAACCCCTCCGCGACCCGAACTACCTCGCCATCGAGCGACCCTACCACGAACTCACAATCAAAACCCTCAATGACGCCACCCGCACATACAATCTCCAAGCGCCGCCCGTCTCGCGGAAGCCGTATCTCAACCTCGAGCGAGAGCTCAACGCATGCTACGCTGAGGTCGCGCCGAGTCTAGCGGAAGAGATTAAACGGCGTGCGCTAGAGAAAGCCCGCGGTCCGGTATCGTCGGGTCCTCAGGCTGCTGGGATTTTGGAATCGCTGGGCACGGCGCAGACGGCTCAGGTTTATGATGAAGATGTTTCTAAGGGGTATGGGGTTAAGGATCTCTTGCGGGATTGGTTTTCGGGGAAGAAGGGTCGGGGTTGAGCATGTGTCATGGAAAAGTTGTATATAGTGTACATTACTGGGGTCTATTGTATAGTGTGTTGTTATCTACGGCAAGTTGATATTTACGTCATCCATGGTTATATCCAACAAGTAGTGCATTTCCGCACTCGTTTCAAAGTGACAGTATACTACCTAGAAACTCTATCTCGTGAGATGGTCAGTCAAAGACCACATGATGATATAAATACACCACAGTAATACAAATAACAGCAACGAGCGACAAGCCAGCCACTCCAGTCTATTCCCCACCACAAAGAAGGAAAGTAAGAAGCAAATGAACAGAACCATCCCCAATATCAGTCCTCATGCACCCGTCGCCTCACCATCTCCGTATCCAACATAAGCTTGATAAAGCGCCAATGCAAGCGAAGCACATGAATATCATACAACCCCTTAACAAACAACCCCAGCAGATAAGACCCCACGAAAACCTCAACCCAGAACACCTTCTCCTCGGAACACTGGGTTCTGAGAGAAACCCAGAGAAAACCGGCCACGCTGGCGAAGACGGTCCCGAGAGCCATATGCATAACAGAGAAGTAGACCGCGCAGTTTATCTCCCTCAATACGTCCACAGCGTTGTGGAAGCGCACTTCTTCGGAATCGAGGAGCTTCTCGCATTGTTGACGCTGCTGACTGGGCCTCTTCAATTGCTCTTGGGTTCCGAGGAGGAGTATGCACAGGTCTAACCGGTCTAGCCAGGGGAGGTAGGGGAGAAGCCTCGGGTACGTCTGGGGCTTGTACGGGGCTGCGCGGTCCAATTCTGTGCCCAGTGGTGGTGGGGGGGTTTGCGTTGGTAGGGTTCTGGGAGTGCGCCTTGTTGGTTGTTGGAGATCTTTGAATATGATCGTTGGATTTAGGTTCATTCTGTTTTTGGTTTTTTTTTTTTTTCTGGGTGGGATGGAAGGTCGTTTTCGGGGGAGTTGGATGGCTGGGAGTAATATGGCTCCTGACATTGATATGACGTGGGATGTATTGGATTCAGTAAGGAGTGGCAAGCTTAGTATAATATTTAGAGATACAGATGGGTGGTAGATGTCTGTTTCAGCTGTCCAATTTAGATATACTCAAGTTGAAGCCATGGCCTCGGACGAGGGCTGATTGTACGACCAGGAAACGACGACCTTGTGTGTGCCTGGGTACCTTCCTGAATCTGTCTTGAGCCATACACCACGTTTTAGGAAGGTACGTTCCAGGAGTGAATACTATAAGAATGTATACAGTCCTCTACCCTACTAGTTTGCAATATTGAAGGAGCTTGGTAAGTCTCACGTTAATCAGACTACTAGAACAGAACATGGCACAGCACGTCACAGCCGACAGAGCTTGCTATCATAATAAATACACACAACACTTCGATGTCAACCTAGCCCAGTCTGCCATGGCCTGACTGGGAAGGGAAAATGTACTTCTCATCTTGACTAGGCATGAGCAATCCACTCCACCGGGTCAAGCGCAGCTATGGCCTGGACAAAGGACTCATTCAACTTATCACTGCACTCCTGGATAGCTTTGGCATTAGCCACGTCAACCTTATCCTGCAGGGCTTTTCCAAGTCGATTGGTGTTCGCCTGGAAGAAGCGGATACTGGCGACGATGATCTCGTGATAGCTGAGGTGCTCGAAGACGGGCTTCTACTCCCGTTAGAGGATGCTTCCTTTGCTTCTTCCACCAGTGGGGACATAGTGTCTTACATACCTTGGCAACGGCAGTCTTGAGATAGCCCTCGATGGCGGGCTTCATCTTCATGGCTGTCTCGGTGACGGCCTTGCTGTCTAGGTCGTTGAAGAGAGGTGAGTCCCTGACGTGGAAGGTGGTCACTTGGATGTCAGTTTCCAGGACTCCTTCGTAGTGGATGACGGCCAGCAAGGTTCTGAGGCGGTCGTCGGTGGCCTCGATGGCTTGCTCCAGAGAGCTGAGGTCTCCTTCCACGGTTCTCAGACCGTTGAGGACGGCAGGGGCATCTGCGTTGGCGAGGCCAATGAGGGCAGTGAGAAGGATTATGAAGATGGATTTGAGGCTCATGTTGATGATGTTGGGGATAGGCAGACAATGGTGTTGGCTGTGTTCAATGTGTGAGATGATGGACAAGAATGGGTAGATGTGATGTGAGTGAAAGTTGGATGGTTGTGTTGGAGGGAGGGAAGTGTATACCTTTTTCCTGTGATGCCTCAGTCAGTGCAGGTTGTGCCTTAACGGACTGCACTATGGCCACTTTGACAAGACAACTCTGTATATGTTCACATTTTACATTGTATATGCTTTTCATGGTGATTCTCTTGGTCATATAACCTGGATGTACACGAATAGACACATAGATGGCCATATAGTGGTGTTCAGTATATATAATATCATCATAAATCTAGCAGATAGTACATAAAGTATATTCCCGGGCTATGAAGTCTGTGAGCAAGCTATCTTGACCACCTAGTCAAAGGTAAGGATTGGATCAAATTATCTGCCTGTACAGATCTTTACGATCCCACCGGGTATATATATTGTTGAATCAGCGTAGCCCATGAGTTTACCAGATTCCATTCCAATGAGATAATCCCTTGTATAGAACGTATCAAGTATAGATAAATAGAGATCGACAGAAAATAACCAGATAGAAGTAGTTACATTCGATCCAACCAAGCCAGGCGAACATGTAATTATCCACGATGTGATATCAAAGAATGCTTTATGAAAGAGAAGAGGTAGGTCACCTATCATTCAAAGCAGTTGCTTATCAATCAAATGGGCTTGTGGTTTAGGGGTATGACGCTCCATTCGCATTGGAGAGGTCCCGGGTTCGATTCCCGGCGAGTCCATCTTTTTTTCCTCCATCGTACTTGGAGTATTTTTATTTTATTTATCTTATTATCTATTTATTTATTCTTTTTCCTCTTCAATTCTATTCTCGGATCCAGCATCCCCAACAGTATATAGGGTGATGTCCCAAAGAGCCATCCAAAGACAAGTGTTCTGTATCCTCACTGGCTCATGGTTAATGTGATGGCCTGTCCAGCCCTGCAGCCTCGGCGCCTAAAACAACCAACGAACAGACAGAGTCACATCTCTCGATCGCTCTCCCACTCCTGGACCTCCACCCTGGCTTCTTCACACTATCACATCCAATCAGTCGCCATGCCTCCAGGGTATATCACCTCTGCCCACCCCTCCTCGCCGGGGATATGTGTGTGACGCTGCTCGTTCTGCATGGGATGTGCAAATCTTGCTCCCAACTCTGGAGATGCCCTTTGTCCCTACTTAATCACTCTGGGTCGGCGGCTTCCATATCATGATCCCCATGTGTCTTCTACCTGTGCTCATTCTCCTCTCTCCCGTTGCTGCTGGTTCAGTATTCCAGGAGTATTCGACTGTCGTGTCCAAGCTGAACCGCCGTGCGGAGGATCTCTCGACCGCGGTCCCGTTGGATGAGTCCCTGTTGGCTATTCAAATCGGCGGTATCGTTGGGGCATACGTGATCTTTGTTGCGATCCTCCTGAGTCTGTTACTTTTGGTGGGACGACGTCTGCGACGCGCGGTGCAGGCCTCCAACTATAGCCTGCACGTGGAGATGATGAAGCCCGCTAAACCTCCTGTGAGCCTGGATCCGAGCCCGGTCACTCCGCTCTCTGCCACCCTCCCCAGTCCAAATAGGACGCACTCCTTCAATCAGTCCTGGAGTAGCCTGGGCAAAGCCCCCCACTCTCACATGGCGGGGAATGGGAGTGCAGCTACCATCGATGAGTCGGTGCTTGCCTCCGACCGCCGTAGGGCACAGGAGGAGATGGAGATGCTGTACGCCGCGGTCATGGAGCATGACGCCCGGAAGGAATTGGCGATGGAGACGGGTCGGGACGAGAAGGAGATCCAGTCTCCCGATATGGTCTATACCAGTCCGTTCAGCGACCGGTCGTCCAGGGTCTCTGAGGGGCCATCGTTTGCGCCCATGAAATCCCCGACGAGTCCACGATCCAACTCCCGCCTGTCCAGAATCTCATCGCTCTCCTTGTTCAATTCCAACTCCAATTCCAGCTCCCAATCCCAACCCAATGCCAGCTCGAAAACTCCGGCCAACACCAGCAAGATTCTCCGGTCGCCGCGATTCAACCTTCGAAAGATGTCCATCTCCTCCCCCCTGGCATCTCCCGATGTGACCGCGACCAATTCGTACGGGGAACAGCCCCCGCTGACCCCACGGATCTACCATCCGCCGCCCCCTCCCGCGCCTCCCGCGCGGATCAATCGCACTCCTGTCGAGAAGGTCGTCGGGGCAAGTCGGGCGCCGGCGCCCGCACCGCTGAGCCTGTCGACTGCGGGGCATGGTAAGGGTCCGTCATCATTGCCCTTCCGGGACGCGTTCCCGCTGCAGAGCGCCCCCGCTACCAAGACGACGGTCCTGGAACGCCCCGTGAAGCCGCTGAATGGACCGCGGACGGGCATGCCGACGCCCTACAGCCCTTACATGCCCTTCACGCCCGTGACGCCGCTCACTCCGAGTCGAATGGTGACCAAGCGACAGCGCAAGCGCGAGGCCAAGGATAATGGGCTGCGGGTTTTGGACGAGAATGACGTTGTCCAGGATGACAGCGATGTGTGGGGGTGATTTTATTTTCTTTATTCTTATCTATACTGGGCTGTTTCATGATTTGTCTGCTTCCGGGTATCATTAGGTGTTTGAGGGTGGTTTGACCTATATGGACAGTGCTGGCACTTGGTGCTTTGACATTATTGCATGTTATATTTTAAATAAATCCATACATCAGGAGATATAAGACACATTATCCATTGACGAATCTGTCATTAACTTGGGTGGGTAAGTGTGGCGAGGTTGGCTGCAACCATGTTTACCAACCTCGGGCCACCCCACTGTCTGACGTCCTTTGTTCCCCTCATCCCACTTCGGAACTCACACCCTCCTTCGAGCTTCAATTGAACACTATATCGTATCCGAGCTTCCAATTTAGTAGATTGCCTTTCTTCTCATGATAACAGTCCTATACTGACCTCCTCTATCCCAATGCCATTGACCATCCTCTCGCAAACGCAGCTTCGATCCCTGCTGCTCTCGCTCACCCGCGACGAGGTCTTCGCCTTACAACGAAACCTCGCCCTCGCCCTCCGAGACTACTCCATCGGCAACCAGGATTCCGGCTGCTCCGCCGTCTACCAACCGCGACGGACCGCGATTACCCGACAAGATGGCTGTACGACTCTGTTCATGCCGGCCAGCACGGGTCACTCAACGGGGATGAAAGTCATCTCCCTGCAAGATGCAGACACCGCGGGCTGTTCGACGGACGATGGGCCGGAGCCATTGGGGGAAGAGACGCCGCTCTTCGAGACACCAGGGACTCGGGCGTCTATGGCGTCGCTGGAGTCCGACGGTAGCGAGTTGTCCGTCACCTCCTCGGGCGGCGGCAGGGCGAGTGACCCGCGCGGGTCGACGAGCCAGTCGAGCAGCAACTCGATCGATGCAGGGTGTGTCAATCAGCAGCCGGTGGAGACGGGGATGTCCGGGACACTGGGGGCCTGGCCGGGCGCCGGGAGTCGTGACACCTCACCGCAGGGCTGCCAGATCCTGCTGGACGAGGCCAGCCTACCGTTCGGGATGATCAACGCGCACGAGCTGACTCCGTTCCGCACGGCGCTGACGGCCACAATGCTGCTCAACAAGCGGAAGAAGGTGCGCTCGGTGGTGGTGTTCGGCGCCGGCAAGCAGGCCTACTGGCACATTCGGCTGGCGCTGGTGCTGCGCGGGGCCGACATCAAGCGGGTGTTCATCATCAACCGGTCGTTTGATCGGGCGGCGGAGCTGCTGCGCGACATCTACGCGCCGGAGAACGCGGAATGGCGGGGCGAGGTGAAGTTCTCGGCGATCAGCAGCGACTTTGGCGAGTATGCGCGGGTCCTGCACGACACGCTGCACAAGGCCGACGTCATCTTCTGCTGCACGCCGTCGGTACAGCCGCTGTTCCCGGCGGAGCTGCTGACGTCGCGCGAGGGCCGCCAGAAGGGCCGTCTGATCAGCGCGATCGGGTCCTACAAGCCGCACATGACGGAGCTGCACCCGGACATTCTGCGCGAGGAGGTCAAGGTCTCGACGAGCCACTGGCATTTTCACAAGCACGTCCGCCACAGCGGGGTGGTGGTGGTGGACAGTCTCACGGGGGCGATGAAGGAGGCGGGCGAGATCGTCCAGGCGGGGATCCGGCCCCACCAGGTGGTTGAGCTGGGCGAGCTCCTCATGGTGCGGTACCAGTCGCAGGGGGCGAACGCGGAGAACGACGACGATGCGAAGAGCCTGCGCGAATGGGTGGAAACGGGGAATGTCATCTTCAAGAGCGTGGGGATGGGATTGATGGATTTGGTGACGGGGGGAGATCTCATCCGGCTGGCTGGACAGAGGGGGGTGGGGACATTGGTTGATAATTTTTAATCTGTACTCTACTTCTCGCTTCCTGTCTTTTTACCTTATTCCACATATTATTCCAGAGGTGTTATGAGTGTTATGATCCTGTCGGTGTCGTGTTGATCAGACCTAATCAATCGTTATCAATCAGCCCACTACGTAATCATCGGCCCACTGGCATGACATCAACCGATTCTCTCTCTCGTGCTCTCTTTTCTCCCGACTACCTCTATTCCAACAATAGAAGATATGCAGACAACTGCAGACACCAACAGAGCCCCTCCTCATGAGCTGTCCATGTCTACCCAATAAGTCGCGGTGACGGATTCGAAAACTTCTCGGGATCGTCGCCAACTGAGGGGCTGCGGAGCATCATCCCACTCGGCCGTTGATTAGATGGAAATTTCTCCCCCCACCAACCCATTGATTCTTTTATAACCTGCAAAACAGCCCTTTTTCTGTTCCTTATTCTCCATCTTCTCTCAAAAAACCCTTCCATCTGATCTAAGTAACCATGCGGAATCACATCTGCTACCTGCCTAATGGCCTCTCCTTCACCGTGTCGTCGGTGTTTGGCGGCGTCAATTTCAAATCTAACGACATGAAATTGACCAACTCGATCGTTCCTCCGGGTTGGAATATCGTCCTGTCGACCGATAGACGAGAGACAGCAAAAGAAGACCGTCCAAACAGTCGTCAAAGCGACAAGGATCAAGATCCGGGCTTCACGCGATTCACCTCCCCAACCCTCCGCCACGACAGCCTGTACCTCTCGTCCATCGTCGACCCCCCCAGCACGGAATACAAGGCCGTCAGCTCGCACGCGCGCCAGGTCGCCATGATGCTCTGGGTCACCCTGTGGTGGTACTTCCACGAGCCGCAGCCCGACGCGCACCTCCACAACGAGGCCTCGGCCGCGACGCCGCACCAGGGCAAGCCCAAGGGCGAATGGCGCGTGGCCATCAAGCGCGAGGGTATCTTCAAGGGTCGCAACGTCGTGCAGAAGCTCGAGCGCATGGGCCTCGTCGCCAGCGAGGACTCATCCGCCGGCGAAAACCCACTCGACCTCTCCGCCTGGGACGACCTCTTCGTCAGCCGCCGCAGCTTCTGGCAGATCGACCCGCGCATCTTCATCTTCACCATGAGCCCACTGCACGTCCGGCGCGCGATCGCCAACCGCCCGCTGTCCCCCGGCGTCGGATCCCCCACCGCAGACGGCGTGTCCGTCACTACGAACGACATCTTCGCGCGCCTGTCCACCTCCACTGAAGCGCACTACACCCCGTCCGAAGGACCCTACGCCTCCAGCAGCCACCACCCGACGTACTTCCCCCCGCCGCCAACGCAATACACATTCACGAACGGCGTCCGGCATCCGATCCGCCCCAAGCCCCCCCACAAAGGCGACGTCTTCTACATCCGCTACATCCCCAGCGTGCAGCAGTACATCTCCTTCCGGGTGGCATCCCTCCCCCCTCCCCCCTCCGCCACCACAACCCCCAGACCCACCTCCCCCGGCGCCATCCACCACCACGCCTACAGCGCCTCCTCCTCGAGCCTCAACTCGCAGATCCAGCCCCGCGGCGAAGGCCCCTCCGACCTCGACCTGCTACACAAATGGATGAACGACCCCCGTGTCAACGCCTCCTGGGGCGAAGCAGGCCCCATCTCCAAGCAGGAGGCGTTCCTGCGTCAGAATCTCAGCGCGCGCCACAGCTTCCCTGTCATCGGCTGCTGGGACGACAAGCCCTTCGGCTACTTCGAGCTTTACTGGGTGAAGGAGGACAGACTGGGTCCGCTGATCGGCGGAGCGAGTAACTACGACCGCGGTATTCACCTGCTTATCGGCGAGCAGGAGTTTAGGGGCCCGCACCGTGTGGCGGTTTGGTTGAGCTCGCTGGTGCATTATTGTTTCTTGGCGGATCCGAGGACGGAGACGGTTATGTTGGAGCCGAGGGCGGATAATCATAAGTATGTTTCCCCTCCCTTCTTTTCCCTTCTCTGTTTTTTTTTTCTTTTCTATTTTTCTTGGACTATGGTATGATTGATGTTGATGCTAATGTGTTAATGAAATAGGGTCATCCACTACCTCCAACAAGCAGGCTTCTACAAAGAAGGCGAAGTCACGTTCCCGCATAAACAGTCCGCTTTGATGAAGATCAAGCGTGATCAGTGGGAGTGTCCTGCTATTTAGTTTTCCTACTGTATACTTCGTCGTTTTTATGCTTTCATCCATATATGCCCATATGAATTCGTTCATATATTCATGTGTATGTATGTATGTATGTGTGTATGGATAAATGAGACGGGCGGAGATAGAGAGAGGCTAGCGAGACTAAGATATTTGGTGTATATACATACGTATGTTGTCTTGTCTTGTGCATGGATTGCTGAATACTCTACTCTACTCTTTACTCTTCACTCTACTATTGTCAATCTACTACGACCTACATAAGACCTCAACACCTAACTTATGTCATCTACAATCTATACTCCTATAATACTACCCACCATATCCCTAGAGTATTCGGGGGAAAAAGAGTATAAAAATCATATCATGTCATATTAATAACTACCTAAATACTAGTGCTCGCGGTGCCGCAAGATCCGTCTGCTGTATATGCATCCATGTATGCGTTTGCATATCCAAAATAGTCCCAGGACATTGTACACTAAAAGAAAGCGAAAGCGAAAGCGAAAGCGAAAGAGGAGGGGGAGGCGGGACGGGGAATGTGTGCAATTTGAGTCGTGGATATTGCGGGAATGGGGGATGGGTATAGTGGGTAGATAGATGAAGATGAATGGAAGATGAGGGTAGGTGGGTAGGGTTGAATGGGAATGATTGAGGAAGAGAAGTTGAGGAGTAGATTGCGTATGAGACAAAAGGGACCAGACTAGACCTCCGGGGTGTATAGTGCAGTGCCGTATAGTTCCGTATAGTGTAGTGTGTAAACAAATAAAGGGTATTAGTAAATAGGCGAGACCCGCTCAACCGTGGTAGACAGTGACAGTGACAGTGTACTGGTAGACAGACAGACATAGAAGCAAACAAAAAAACAACAACAGTCGAAGTCTAGACTCTAAACAGGTCGTCGTCCCATATACGATCCCGCAGCGGAGGCCAAAATCCTCGCCATGAACCCGGAGCTACCATGCGTAGACACCCGCGCTTTCTTACCCGACTGCTGCGGCTGCTGATGCAAGGGTAGGTAAGTTCCGTCATGCTTAGGCTCAGCAGGGAGATGGACGTAGCCGGTGTAAGACGGGCTGGAAGTCACATCGTCCAGCACGGCCATGCTGGCTGTGGAGCTGGAGGTGCGGAGGCTAGCGGGTGTGCCGCGGGAGCTGGTGGAGGCGACGCTGGAGGCGCGCGAGCTGAGCGAGGGGAGGGTCTCTGCGCGGGAGAGACCCGGGACGTCTTGGATGGAGGGCGGGGAGACTGACACGCCGTGGCGGGAGCACGGTCGCCGGCGGATGGAGTACGGTCTGTAGCGGTCGGAGTCGGCTAGTGAAGCGGGGGACATTGAGGCGTTGGATGAGGCTGGGCTGGGGGGGAGATGGCGCCGGATGGAGGGGTGGTGGTGGTGGTGGTGGTGGTGGTGGTTGACGGAGCGGCGGGCTTCGAGACGGGCCTCGAGCTTCTGGCGGCGGAGACGGCAGGCGAGGAGCTCGGCGGAGGCGTGGAAGCGGCGCCACTCGCGTGGGGGTGCCTGGTGCGCGGCTTGACGCTCCTGGAGCATGTAACGGTGGCGGATGGGGCCCAGGAAGGGCTCGAGCTGGTCGAAGAGGTCGGTCTCCGAGACGCGGGTCTCCCAGTCGAGGAGGAAGAGCAGCTGGCGCTCCATAAGGTTGACCTCGGGGAGGGAGAAGCAGAAGCCGTTGTAGCCCTTGACGGCTGTGTAGCGAGCCCAGTGCTTGTTCTTCGGGCTGGAGTCGTTGAGGTTCTTGGCGGCGAGGATGAGGGCGGCGAGGAAGATGCGGTGGACGGTGCAGCGCATGCCCTTGGCGACTGGGGGGAGCCGGGCGCGCAGGCGGTCCAGGTAGACGAGGGAGGTCATGAGGGTGGGCACCTGGACCTGGGAGCGGGTGACGAGCGAGGTGATGAAGAGTTCGACGGAAGGTAACGGGAGATTATTGATGCCGGCCTCGTGGTCGTCGAGGGGAGGCGAGCTGGGGGGCGTGGGTTGACCGTGATGATTATTGTGCGGTGTCGCCGTCACATGGGACTCGCAGCGGATGACCCGCGAGGCTTGCAGGGCCAGGTGAGCCACCATCTCGCGCGTCACCGGTTGTCGCACGAATTCCTGCAGGGCCAGACGGTTGAGGGACTCGGGCCTTTCCGTGTATGCAGTGGGCCTTTGGTCCATGGTGTACGGGTAGTTGGCCATTGTATATGATCTAGTTGAGACGTATCTAGATGGTTGTAGATCGAGGAGAGAAGGGGAAAAGAGGGAGAAAGAGAGAGAGAGAGAGAGAGAGAGAGGCAGCTCGTATTAAATAGAGATCTTGGAATGATAGACGGACGAAGAATGTCCAGGAAAGAGTGGAAATTGAAGAATCCCGCCAGCAGGAGAGGAATGTGTGTCTTGTTGTCGTGTCAACGTGATGGATCACGGAGTCAAGGAACGAGATGGAAAGATTGACAGATGAGATGAGAGTGCAGATAGAGAGAGACAGAGAGACAGATGAAGAAGAGAAGAAGAAAGCGAAAGAGAGAAAGAGAGGATATTATAAGGATTATAAGAATTGAGAAAGGTAAAAAAGAAAAGTCAAGGCTGGTCATGCAAGGTGGACGCGCTGAGCCTGCATAGATGGTGGCATTCCATCCCTCTTCCTCCCCCAATAAAATCCTCGTCTATCCCTTCCTTCCTCCCCTCCTGTCAATCCGGGTTCTGACTGGCATGTGCTGGACGTGATCGAGGGGTTTCATCCTTTCCTTTTCCCGATTCTGTCAGCCAACGAGGGCTGGTAAGACACGAAAAAAGATCCTGGATACGGCGAGACCTGCGAGGTACAGTGGAGTGACTCCCCAGTCTACGCGCGGATGCAAGTCCCACTCATGTACCGTCCGTCTGGGGTGCAATATTAAGCGCCCGCTTCTATAATTATCGAATTTCGCGCAGGCGATCGCCCAGATCGACCTGGTTGGGTAGACAATTTCGATGGCGTCTATATTTAGAGAGAAGAGAAAACTACCGCTGGAGATCCACTTGTTCGGCGTCAACCGAATTTCCTAGGAGCTGGTCGACGCGCTCCATGACATTCTAGGTGCTATATACAAGGGTGTACCCCCCCCAGACCGGGGGTGAAACACGGCGCGTAACTCCCAGTTCAATTCTCATCCATCCATCGTGTCGCCCCCCTCGCCACTCCACCCCCCCCAAGTTGGCGTCTAATAGCGGTGCTCGCGTCTCCTTTGGAATGTTGCCGCCTAGGCCACCGTCACCGAGTATGAGCTGACGCTCAACAGCGCGTCCTTGCCACTGAAGGGTTCGGTTCCCGCCTGGACGTCGGTCAGGTACTGACTCGCTGCCAGGTCCTGGTTCTCTTGCAGGTAGGTGAGGAATTGCTTCAGATCGGTTGAGAAGTTCTCGGTCGACGACGGCGCCACGAAGCTGAACACCTGCATCTCGCCGTTGGGGCCAGAGAACAACTGCCACTGGTGGCCGGCAATCGTCGGGGTCGCGATGGGCGAGCCCGTCGACGAAATGGGACCAGCCCCGCCCAGGGCGCCCAGCCAGATCATGATCTCATACTCGGCATCTCCATCGGCGGTCGAGGAGAGGAACAGATCGTACGCGACGTTGCATACCAGGTCCGATCCCTTGTATCTTTTGGTCGTTAATATTTATACATATCTTGAATAGAAGATGATGATGACGAGGAAAAAAACTTACGACCACTTCCAGGTCGTCGGGATCTTGGTCACCTCGCTCAACTGCTTCGGCTCAAACTTGTAAGCCGCGTTGGCGAAGCTCTTGACCTGACCCTCGCCGCCGGTCCAGCTCCAGCTGGTGTGCCAGGCCAAGGTGGTGCCATTCTGGCCGTCCAGGCCCGTGCACTGCTCGCCGCTATCGGCGTTGTCCTGTCCCCAGAGGTTGTTGTACACGGTAAAGTCACCTTTCTCGATGGTGTCCCACTGACCGCAGGAATCCGCCCGACGGGTCAGGGTGGCTCCATTCAGAAGGCCCCGACGGGTCATGGCGGCACCGGAAGCCAGTCCGGTGAGAGCGAGAAAAAGCCACTTCATGTTTAAAGAATGAATGTATATGGATATTGATAAAAGAATGACTGTTTGGTTTATCTCTAATCTGAATGCCGTGGGAAAGACCCGAATTTATGCCTCGTTCGGGGTGCTGGACATTGTCGATCATGCCCTTCCCCACGGCATCTGTAGAGGCATGAGTGGTGGACAATTGGACATGCTGTCAACTGGAAACACCAGGTCGGGATAATTTCACACAGGTGTTTAGCCGGAAGAATTCACGATCGGGAGGGGTACGGTGGATTGGTGGAAGTACATGAGTTACAGGGAGTAGACGAGGGGGTGTTCCGTGTTATTCTGGACGGAGATTTGATGTATAAGAAGAGCGATCTGCATGGTTGAAGTACTCCAGGTTTTATATACAACATGCGACCGTGAAATATACTTCTGCGTCAGGAAGATAGACAGATGAAGATGAAGATGATGAAGATGCAGAGCCTAATCAGGCAACGATCGCCAGGCCGAGGAGTCCGCGGACCCCGTGACAGCTTAGTGCCTGAATACTAAGGTATCAAGGCACAAGGCACTAAGGTACTAAGGCACTCGAGACTATTGAGATCTCCTTACTCGGATCTCCTTCATCCGCTTTCCCTGTCTCTCTTTCCTGTCAACCTTGTCTCCTTCTCTCCATACCATCCTTCTCCCTATTAACCCCCCCCATCATGCGTGGTCTCACTTTCCTGGTCACCCTGGTGGCCCTCCTCACCGGTTTCTACCGCTACTTCGACTCCCGTCTGGATCAATTCTACGTCTTCGACCCCTCGAACCTGCACGAGCTGTCCCAGCGCGCCATCGCCGCCCACGGGAACGACACGCGCGCCGTCGTCGACTTTATCGTCACCGAGCTGGACGAGAAGGTCCCGGGGTCTAACCTCAACCGCGACGAGGAATGGGTCTTTAACAACGCCGGCGGTGCCATGGGCGCTATGTACATTATCCACGCCAGTACGTTCCCCCCCAACCCTCCCAAAAAGGAATCAAAGACTAATTATTCAAAGGCATCACCGAATATCTCATCATCTTCGGCACCTCGATCGGTACAGAAGGTCACACCGGCCGCCACACCGCCGACGACTACTTCAACATCCTGCAAGGCACCCAGCTGGCCTTCGTCCCGGGCTCCTACGAAGCCGAGGTCTACCCCCAGGGCAGCGTGCACCACCTCCAGCGCGGCCAGGTCAAGCAGTACAAGATGGACGAGTCGTGCTTTGCGCTTGAGTATGCCCGCGGCTGGATCCCCCCCATGCTGTTCTTCGGCTACGCCGATACTTTCTCCAGCACGCTGGATTTCCCGACCTTGTGGGCGACTACGCGCATTACGGCGCGTGAGATGATTGCCAATCTGCTTAAGGGGAAGATGTAATCTATGGATGGAAGTAGGGTTGTATTATAGGAAAGAAGATGCTACATACATAATAGAGACGCTTATGCGAGATAACTCAATCAATCAATTGATCAATAAATCGATAATAAGCACGGAGTAAATAAGATAAAGTAAAAATCAAACAAACAAACAGACCAAACAGCTGACTCATCACTTATCTCTTTATCGCCCATCTCCCCTCATTTTCTACTCTACGATAACCAGACCTAAAAAAAAAAAAAGCCACTCAAAAAGAAACACTCGAACAACACAAAAAGGGAAGGAAATAAATTCAAGAATGGCACCTCCCTGCGCCCACTGCCACTCCGCGCGCGCGGTCATCATCCGGCCCAAAAACCGCCACCGCCTCTGCCGCGAGTGCTTCATCCGAGTCTTCGAGACAGAAGTGCACGAGACGATCACCGCGACACAACTCTTCCAGCGCGGCGAGCGCATCGCCATCGGCGCCAGCGGCGGCAAAGACAGCACCGTCCTCGCCGCCGTGCTGAAAACCCTCAACGAGCGGTACGACTACGGCCTCTCGCTCTGCCTGCTGTCCATCGACGAGGGCATCCGCGGGTACCGCGACGACAGCCTGGAGACGGTCAAGCGCAATGCGCAGCAGTATGCCATGCCGCTCGAGATCGTCGGCTACGGGGAACTATACGGGTGGACGATGGACCAGGTGGTGGCGCAGGTGGGCAAGAAGGGCAACTGTACCTACTGCGGGGTGTTCCGGCGGCAGGCGCTCGACCGCGGCGCGGCGCGTCTGGGTATCAGCCATGTGGTGACGGGGCATAACGCGGATGATGTGGCGGAGACGGTGATGATGAATTTGCTGCGGGGGGATCTGCCGCGGTTGTCGCGCGGGACGAGCATCGTGACGGATTCGGCGGCGAGTGAGGTCAAGCGGTCGAAGCCGTTGAAGTATGCTTATGAGAAGGAGATTGTGCTGTATGCGCATCATCGGCGGTTGGATTATTTTAGTACGGAGTGTATTTATTCGCCGGAGGCGTTTCGGGGGAGTGCGCGCTCGTTGATTAAGGATTTGGAGAAGATTCGGCCAAGCTCGATCTTGGATATTGTTCGCAGTGGGGAGGATCTTGCGGGGTTGGTTCCTGCTGAGGTGAAGGGGACGGGGCCGGTGGGTGGGGGAGGAGGCGGAGGTGGTTGTGGGAGTCAGAATGGGAGGACGAGTGGGGGGGAGATGGCGGAGATGGAGAGGCGGTTGGCCGGGGATGAGGCCGCTGCTGGGCAGGAGACGGAGATCCGTCTGCCGGTGAGGACGCCGGGGAGGAAGAACAAGCAGGCGAAGGACCAGCCCAAGGTGAAGACGCAGACGATGGGCAAGTGTGAGCGCTGCGGGTACATCTCGAGTCAGAAGGTGTGCAAGGCGTGCAGTTTGCTGGAGGGGTTGAATAAGAACCGGCCGCGCATGGCGATTGACGTCGATATGGAGGATGAGGAGAGCAGTACGACGTTGATGCGACAGATGGAGAGGGTAGAATTGGGTTGACCGATTATCAGCTCATCGAAACCATCCATCATATCAATCGGTCCAGTCTGACCGGAGTCAATCAGCGGGTCAGATGTAGGATAACATCCTACCTACTACACCAAGTGGTCCAGACAGACCACATCTACGAATATACGATAGCTATATCAAGGCAGCACAGAAAGCACCAGCTTCAAGTTAATATACACAAATGTACAAGACAACCTAACACCAAACCAATATCATACAAATCATATCCCTCACTCAGCTTTTACCCTCCCAAATCTATCCCCCAATTATTCCAGACATATTCCCCAGGCATCCCCAATCATTTCCCAGGTACAATATCTCCCCCCCCTACCCAAAAGAAGCACATAAGACCCCCTAAGCCCCCCCCTTCTCCCCCTCCACCTCCGAAAGATCCGGCAAATCCCACCCCACCCTGCGAGCCGTCAACCGAATCTTCTCCTCCTCCGTAAGCGTCGCACCAGGATTGTACCGCTCCACAAGCGCCGCATACTTGCGCTGCGCGCGCGCATACATCGCCCACTGCTCAGCCTGTTGGAGTTTCATTTGCAGCTGTCCCTCTCCCTCCCCTCCTTCTGTCTTTGCTTGTGGTGTCTGCGAGGGCTGTTGTTGGTAGAGGGTGCGCAGGCGGGTTTGGAGGGGGCTGGGGGGCGTCCGTCGGGGGAGTTCGCGGAGGATGGCGCGGTAGGTTCTGAGGGCTTGGGTTTTGAGGTCCATTTTTTTTTCTTCTGGCGGACTCTTTTCGTTCGTTCGTTCTTGGTTTGAGTTGAAGGGTGAGGTCGGTTGGTTGGGTCTTGGTTTATTGAGTTGTTGGTTTGTTGGTGGTTGAGTGGTGGTGGTGGTGGTTTGGTTTGGAGGTCGTTGTTCGGGTTTGATGCTTGCTGGTTGTAGTGGTTCTGATTATTGGGTGTATGGCGGAAATAACCAGGTCACGTGTTTAGACGTTCTACATCAACATATGTACATTTTTTTCTTAGATACTCAGGATTATAGGATAGTCCAATATTAACTAGTAAATCTTATGCTAGTCCGCTAGCTCTAGTATATCATGAATATGTACATCGTCGTAACAACGGTCATCATTCATCACCATCATCACCTCCCCGTAATCATCGGATCTGGACTAGATCTGAGTACACTGTTTGTTGATCGTGGGTGTACTACTGATCATGTATCTAAGATCGGAGCCATCCAAACTTCTTCCGCCCGGCGTCGCCGCCCGCAGACGGCTCCAGCTGCATGCTGCGCGCGTACAAGTCCTAAGTACCAACGTTAGTTCAACTCCGAGACCAACATTCAAAAAATCAACGTACCTCTTCAACTCCAGACAACTTGATATCGAAAATCAACCGCGCCACCTCCTGATACCGCGCCATATGCGAATACGGCGTCTTCTGGCTGCGCTGGATCCCCAGCACCACCTCCCCCATGACTTCGAACTTGCGCCAGTTGATCCGCGACTTGTCCTCCTTGATGAACGTCTTGTTGCCTTCTTCCGCGGATACCAGGTCGCGTCGGTGCAGCGGTAGGAACGGGATCCGCTCGGAGAAGGAGTTGTCCCATGCGAGTCGGTACGCGAAGTGGCTCTTTTGCGTCCCCATGAGAATGACCAGCCTCATGAAGTCTTTCTGGATCTGGACCGGGACGAGCTCCCGTGTTTGTGTTAGTCGGTGGACGGGTGTGCCGTTGATGCCAGCGATTACGGCCCCGAGGGAGTTGTAGTTGTTTAGGCGGCGGAGTTTCTATACTCGTTAGTGGTCTGATATGGGCTTCGATTCGAAGAAAAGCAAGAAAGGGGGGGGGGGGGGGGAAAGGGGGTACATACCTGTGCTATATTCATAAACTTCTCCATAGCCTTAGCCCGATGCTTCGGCTTGTCACGATACAAAACCACACTGGCCACGAATAGCGCCACATGGTTGAACTGCTTGATCATCCGGTTGACGTGCTTCAAGCTCTGAATCTTGTCCTTGTCCGGCCCCGAGATGCTAACGTGTCGCACAAGATCCCGCGGGCGGAACGAATTGTACATGATCCAGTCCACCCGCGTCAGCTCGCGCGCGAAATCCTCGTCGGGAATGTCCATGATCTGCCGCCAGTGCAGCTTCGTCAGGATGTTCCGCGGCGTCAGCTCCAGGTGCTCTGCCTCGCGCTGCGCCGCTTCGATGTTCAAGAATGTGAAGGACTGGTTGGGGATGGTCCCCGGGCGGTCCGTCGCGGAGTGAGTCGAGAGGGTCCCCGACAGCCGCAGCGATGAGTCGACGGTGCCTTCGCTGAGGTCTAATGCGCTCATGTGGTAGATGGGGTCCTCTTCTTCCTCCTCGCCTTCTTCGATGATGTTGGCGCCGCCGAGAAACACCGACGGTGAGTTGGGCCCCGAGTGGTGGAGGAATGTCTCGGGTCCGTCGGACCCCGCCGCGTCGCCGTCCCCGTACGACCAGCCGACGTCGTCATCCTCCGCCGTCACCTCGAGATAGGAGCCCACTTCCTTGGCTGCGAACATGTAGAAGTGGCTCTTCTCCAGCGTGGTCACAAAGTCGATGATCCGCTTCCGCGTCTTCGGGTAGGCCAGGTCGCCGGGGTATTCCGAGACCCATTGGGACATGACATTAAGCAGTCGAAGCTGGTCTGCGATGCGGGTGAGCTGGTCCTCGATGTGCTTCTCATTCCACTCAAAGCGCTGGATCAAGGCGTGCAGCAACGTGGCGGGGGCGGCGAATTTGCGGTAGAGACACAGGAAGATGGAGGCGAATTTCGAGTCCTGCTTTGACATGGGTTGCGCGACCAGCCGGTCCACCAGCTCGTCGAACGTGGACCCCGCGTCGAGCGACGACCCCTCGCTGGACGCCTTATCCTTGATTCCGGGGCTCGACGGGGCGCTGCGCGACCCGTCCACGCCGTCGTCCATGTCCAGAAAACTGTTAAAGACGTCTGAGTTGATGGGGGAGAGATCGCCCGTCACGCTCGGCAGGCACGGATTCAGTCGGCCCCCCGACGGAGGTGTGAGTGGTCGCACCGGATGCGAATTGCTCCGGGCATATCGCGACCCTTGCGCATGGGAAGCCAGAGTGGGTGTGTTGGACGAGTCGGCGGGAAGACGGTCGACACCGTACCCATCGACTCCCGCGTGAAAGGTAGAGGAGGAAGTGGTGGTGATGGGGCCGCCAGCGGCTCCTCCTGTGAACAAGGCGGTGGGGGTCTCCGAGCTAGCACGACTGTGCGAGGATGGAGGGAGGGTGGGGGTATCGTCGGCGATGACACGGTCTGTGAGATAAGCGGATGGTCAGGTCGGTCGCATATTATGGTGAATGATAGCAAGACAATATTAAAGTAGGTATGATCAGGGGAAAAAAGAAGTAAGCAGTGGGATAGGCGGTAGGTGAGGGTAGGTCGATTTGGGATCCAGCACAACGGAACGCAAGCCAGCGGGATTTATCTGTCCCCGGGCAAGTGTTTCGAGTTTCCACTTTCCATCCTGGGGATCGGCAAGACAACGAGAGGGCACGCGAACGCTAACCTCAGACCGCGCCACCAACTAGCGTGAACGTGGTGGACCACCTAAGGGACGTTGTAGCCAAAGCCAGCCCTTTGCTCTTGGGAGCAGGATTGGCCTAATGGGGTCCTGAGCCCTCCAAGCCTGGAACCCTAGTACGGTCTCTGTATTGGTGGATACCTTTTCGGCTTAGGAAGGTTGAATTCCTGCCGACTTGCAGTCTGTCCCTCGGAGATGGATTGGAGAAAGACACGGGGAAACAGCGGGGAATAAAAAGACAGCAACACATGAATAGAAAAAAAATCCAAAATCGAAAACAGAGAAAAAAGAAAAAGACGAAACAGCATAAATAAAGAAGAAAACTCACCTCCATATTTATGGCCGACTACCGACCGTAGTACCATCGCAATGCACACCTTCTGCGATCGCGGGGATACCGGCGACGTCCGTTGAATCTCATAGTGGCCCAGAGCGGACTCGACGGGGCCATCGGGAGTTTGTATATCGCATTTACTGGCCACCAACACAAACGGCAGTGGAGATGCGGCCAAAGTGTCTGCAGCAGTCAGCTTCACCCTCATCCCTGGAATCACTGTTATTTCCACCGGACAAGAGCTTCATACCGAGCAAATCTGTGATTCGGGACAGTCCTGCCGGCTGCGTGACGTCGTGAAGCACGAGGACGCCATCAATCGTAGGCGGATCGTCCTGATCCAGTCGCGGCCAAACAATCCCCCCTTGTGAGCCAATGTGAATTTCCTTCGTCCCGATCTCCAACAGGCGGACCAGATAGACGGTCCCGTCCAATGACATCTTCTTGGTGGTGGATCGCGAGGACATGGGGAATCTCATGTCGAGCGCGCTCTGGATAAAGGTCGTTTTGCCGACGTGGTCCTGCCCGACAACGGCGATGGTGACATGGGGGAAACTCAGTTGCGGCGCCATCTATATCGAAGGAGCAATGGAAGTCAGCACGGCTGGTCTGGTGGGGGCAAGACGCTGCTCTGTAGAAGCATACCTCGTCCGCAGCGGAACCCGACAGGATCCCATTATTCCCCGCGGCCGGCGATGAAGCCTCCTCCTCCTCGTGCAAGGTCTGTCCAGCGGTCTTCCCCATATCCGTCGTCATTTTCGACCCGGTAAGCGTGTACAGGCTACCCACCGGGGCGGAGGTGGTGCGGTTGAGGAAACCCGGTCGCGGCAAGGGAGCAGCGTGGTCTGTGTCGCTGCTCCGGGGCCGATCCGGTTGAGGCGGTTGAAAAGTCATGTTGAGGTGATGATGTGTGGCGCGAACCAATGACCAGGGTCGCGGCGCAAGGAAAGGACCCGGTTGAGCAAACCAGGTGCGACAGCGCAATGTCCAACTGCTACGTCAGGAAGTGAGGCGGACACGACAGCTCATCCATTGTCGCTCGGAAGGTCAGTGGGAAATGAGACGATCGGGGCTCCGGTTTCCCGTCGCAATGAGTTTTGGTGACGCGGAGTCGAGACACGTGCGGCGGTCGAGTGCAGCGAACTGGTTATAAGCCTATATTCTCTCTTCCTTGGCCATCCAGTCTCTTTCCTCCCTGGATATCGCACAGCAGATGGCAAGTGATCGAACAGCTAAATGGAAGAGACGCAAATCAGCTCCAATAGAAGCACGCCGAGACGGGAAAATAATCGAATGTCGGAGGTGAGTGGGGGAGGGGGGAATCTTACGAGAGAATTGACCGTGCTGTCGATTGAAATTGCTTGACTTTTTTAATTTTGTATTTTTTCCCTTTTTCTTTCTTGCTTTCGTTTCCTTCCCTTCCCTCCTTTTTCCTTCAAACCCGAAGTGGTGGATGGACTTGGGAGTGGAGAGTTCAAGCAAGAGTGGTTGTTGGCGTTCACTTTGAACTTTAAGCGGGCAGAGAAGACGGAGACGGAGACGGAGCCGGGGGGGAAAAGCGGACACCCAATTTACAGATGTCAATGCTCAAGCTCCATGCAGATAGATTGTCAATCTTACTCTCTCGTCCCATAGTTACCTGGTCATGTATTTATTCTAATACACTACTTTTATATTTAGAAACAGTCCGAAGATCAAATCCAATCGAGGTACAAAGTCCGATTGAGCCAATACCAGGTGTATGGCAGTCTGGGTACCTGTTAGATGCAGTGATGTCGTACCTCGTACCGTCACTAGTATTGCCTCTCGACTAATGACAGCAGCTAGGGAGAAATAATCCAAGAGAAAATAGAACAGCACCCTAGTCCAGTTCCATTCTTAGCGACCGAACGTGGTGGGCTGTTAATAACCAGGATGATCATTACTGGGATCTTCGGTTGGCCAGTATCCAGTCCTTGAAATTCAGCTCGTGCTTTCCAGGCTGTAACTATGGTCATAGGACGGAGTACAGACTACAGAGTAATATCCACCAGACTCTAGCAACCATGCACACCGTGTGTTGATCTATCAATCAATCCCTTACCGTGACAAAATAGAGGTGAGACCGGATGACGATCAGCCTTGACGAAATGTCAAAAAAAGAAAATATCAATAAACCTATGAAAGAAAAGAAGAAAATAAATACAGAAAAGATGCATAATCGGCCCAGCCCTTGAACGAGTCAGAAAGCTCACCATTGGTTTGTCTGTGATGGGACTGGAATCCAGGAATGTGACTGATGTACGATGATGATGGCAGGCACGAGACGTCCTGATCTCATCGTGGCCTGAATCTGTACGCTGACGTCTGGATGGAGGGATATGATGAAGGGATACCTTGGTATCTTGATAGTCGGAAATACAGTGAACACGGTCGTCTACCACGATCTGGGTTGTTGGTTGGCGCGATTCGTCAAGAGTCTCATCATATCGATTCGCAATCCTTCAACCTTGAACTCGGTTGTCTTCCGTGTCCCCCCCGCCATTTATGACTTCTGATTTGCTGCTAAAGGTTGAGTTTGACCCTATCGCCAGATCCCTAGCCCTACTCCTTTGGCCTCCACCCTCCAGCTGGAAGGAGCTAGACAGGGACACTAGCTCTGACACTTGGTCAGCTTGTCAGCTGTGGGAAAAGATTCCCATTGGAAAGATAACTCAATAAAAAATAGGATTGATCATGAAAAAGGAAGGAAATAAATGAAATAAATAAGAAAAACTCGCTTAACTCGTATCTGTATGGACTATGGACTTAGTATGATATGGATCGTGTACTCCGTTTTCCCTCATACGGAGTAGTGAGGATGGAGTATCCGTAGATTCCGTACCATCAATCGGTCCTCCTGAGCATTGAAAACCGAGCATATCTTGACCTGGGCTGGGCATGGTGGAGTCGTGGATAAGTCAAGCTGGCTACACTAACATTCGTAGGCAACTCGGCTCCGTTGGAATAGTATGTACCTCGATTGCTGAGTTGTAATTGCTATTCGACCAGTTGGCGACGGATATCTGCAATTGTAATCCCAACTCAATAGTCATGCCAATTGTAGTCAATTTAGATCGACTTGACTCGTTCATGCAAAGGTTGTATATGTATAGATGGAGATACTCATAAATAGCTACTCGCCAACATCTTGCGATCATTCCTTTGGTCCAACTCCACCGGTAACTCGGGCTAGTTGACAGCCATCAATCAACCTTCCAGTGAACTCGGCTTCATGTGTTCGCGGAAAAGATGACCAGTCAATCATCCTTCAGGGGGGGATTCTTCCCCCTCCCCAGCCATGACAATCGGTTGATCATCCATCGACTAACTCAGCTACTGCCGAGGACAGGCGACGATTAATGGGGCAAGAATCATACCCAGCCCGGTCGAGACTCACCGACAGGTCCCCGACGCTTTTCTAGTTACTTGGTTCCCGTTTGTTAGCGCTCCTGGTGTATCGACCGTCCTTCTTGCAGCCCTTGAGTCCTTCGTTCATTGATAGATCGTTGATTTTGGTTTTGATGTTTATTGCTATGATTTCTGAACTTTTTTTTCTGGATCCGTTGGGCCAATCCGAGGCCGACTAAAGGTGGTGCCATCGTTAGCCCCATGTCTTTCCTTTGTCTGAGACCGGCAACTGGAGCCCTAAAGGGTCCGTTCTCTACACCGAATATTCGTCCTAGCTTACTGTGGTCTTTCGCTATTCAATGCACGCCAACTCGTACCCTGGTTTATTGGTGATCCATCGATTTGTATGGCTCGCCATCCTGCTTTTCCGAGACATTTTCTTCGTCGGACAGGGGTTGCTCCTCTACTGAGGAATCCAATTGTCATCGTCCCGATTCTCATGCGGTCGTGGAGTCCTTCCTGGCCTATCTCATCCAAGCAATCGTTTCCACTAGAGGCCTTCCTCGGCGATATCAAGCCTGGGCCATATGGTCCCAAAGGCGTCGGTGTCACTCGCCTCCGTCCCCGCCGACATCCTTGGAAGGCTGATGGGACGCCCCGAGGCCCCACCTCCCTTTCATACACCCTCCCCGGATGGAGCCTGATCTTCTCCAATCACCAGAGTCATGAATCGGACGAATCCTTCCGCTTTCTGTCCGATCTCCGATCCATCGTCACATCTTTCCCGGAGCTTTCTAACTTTGCCTAATCCGCGGTTGAACCCTTTTTCGCGAGTCCAGGGTCCTCGGTTCCGGTGCGCTCCTCCTCCTCTGCCTCGCTGGCCAAATCCCCGTCCGCGACCGGCAAACTGCGGCGGCTCAACCCACTCTTCTTCGAGGGTCGTCTTGTAGATTTCTCGTAGCTCCTCGCGAAGCGAAGGATATCGGTCCAAGAGCTCTGTGAGCTGGGCGGATGACCCTACTGCGGGCGGACGGACAGCATCGTCCTCGGCGCCGTGGCCGTTGACACTCTTCGACGGTTGTTGATCGTGGTTGGAGTCATCGGGCGATTTCGGTGACGGGGCTTTCGGTGCACAGTAGATCTTATGCGATTGAGTGCAGGCCAGCGAACAACTATACGAGAAATTTGCAGTCAGTTACCTTAACTCTTCTCCAACTCAATGGCATTCTCCAACTCAGTTGTTTTGCATACCTCATCAACCCACAGGTAGGACACCTGTATTTAGGAGATTCCAAACTGCAGACCTCACATGTGCTAGACATCTTGCCGACAAGCTCAGGCCAGAACCTTGAATTGGATTGTGCCCACTGCGCGTCAAGTACCTTAAAACTGTACGGTCATCATGGTACAGCCAACCATTCCAGGTTTTCTTGCACTAAAGAAGGGAGCTCCGGTAAAGTGGCGATCGGGCAGATCAACCAATTTCGTTCGAGGTACCTGGAGGATCGGAGGGAAAATAACATTGCTACAGGTCTTGGCGAGGAAGGAAATCAAGTGCCGAATCACGTGAGCTGTCAATCATTGCTGGCTGCCATACCTTCATTTCCTCTATTCCACTTTCTATACTTTCACAATACTTTTCTATGTATAAAGTCATGGAATTCATAATTGGACAGAAAGCGAGGATTCTAATCTCAGCTGAAATCGCCACATTCAAACAACGGTCCGTCCAACAACCACAGTTATATACAGGCTCCCTGATTTGATCCATATCGGTGCGGCAGTTCTACAACGGCGCATAGCAGGAAATCATATGGTTCGTCAAAAGCACCATACATGCATAGTTTGTGAGAGGGCTAGAGAGCTCCCATCCACACTTTCGTCGCGAATGTCCGGATCAGCGTCCGGCTCGCAGAAGCTCGTTCGTCAACCCGATCGATTCTAAAGAGCACAGCCGCGTCAGCAGCTTAGGATAGGGGCCTACCCCGCCTGAACATCAGTGCGGGGATATGATATCGTTGTTCAGAGATGGGTGTATACTTATCGCTTTTCGCGCCTGTTGCTGGTAGGACGAGCAAATCCTCCTTCATACTTGGCAGGATTTCTCCGATGAAGGACGGCTTCTTGGTGGAAGGTCACTTCGCCTTGTTGGGCTTTTTATTGGGCGGAGATATCAGAACGGTGGGCTGCTGAGCAAGCACCGAATGCCGTGACAATGCCGTGAAGATGTTTTATGGTCTGGTTCGACCAGAAGCAGCCTAGGAAGGGACATTCTATATACCAAGGACTTCTAGGTATATGGTGCGACCAACACTGTCAATACCCGTTATACTCTTCATATCGAACAGTGTGCTGGTCGAATAACGAGGCCATCATCGTCAGCTCTGTTCGCCACTGCTCCTTTGATCCTGACACGGCAGGTTGCTCTGTGACAGAATATCGAAACCTGTTTAATCATGTGGTGCGAATAGGAATCAAGCGCCGAGTTGTTTAATGCATTAGCATAACAAGACTATATATGTGTATACATACATCCATGGACTCTCATGCCAGCTCCATATGGAGCACCAAGTTTATTGCTCTGGACAGCCGACGGAGAAAGACAGTGGCATCGAGGGGTATCCATATCTCTGCCTCAGATAGTGCTTTGGAATACTCCCGACTGAACGATTACTATACTATAACCAATAACACCGTACATTGCATATGTTTTGTCAAAACTAGATCGAGCCACTTGCGCTATAGATATTGGTGATATTGGTGATATGGGTATGTACATGTATATATTCCAACATGGTTCTATCTACACTACATTCTGTAACTACATGCTGTCCATGTTAGTATAATCTACAGAAAGCAATACACCAGTTTGAGCTTCTCACTGCACCATCCAATGCACACATAATATCACACCGACGAAAAGAAGAACTAAGCATAAATGCAATGCCAAATCCAAATCCACTGCTCCTTGACTGTATATCAAAACGCTTGAATATGATTGGATTGGCAACCATTGTATTTGTCAGCCGAGAACACCCGAAGGTCACGTGGACCCATTGCGTCAGAGGTCCGCTAACCGGACAAAGTGCTTCTAGTCCCTCCTTGACACTTGACAATCTTTAAACACCAGAGATATACACACACCCATCTCTCGGACGACCATTTGATTATACACAAACATGTCTGTCAGCTCAACATCAGGAACCATGCTCAGGCGAACAGTCCTCGGTGCCAGACTGGGGATGCAGCCGTTGCGAGCTGGCGAAACTTCTTCCCGGGTAATCAGACCCGCGGTGTTCGGATCGTACAGGAGTGTTCATCGTTCGGCGCGGATGCCTGCCATCACGCCCTCAGAGGCTCGCCACCGGCCGACTCTCCGGCCTAACCACCAGTCTGTGTCGAGAGTCAACGGGCCGTCCAACGCGAAACGCACAATCTTCATCCAGACGGAGAACACCCCCAACCCGGATGTGAGTATTGAAACCCAGAACCACCTACGCTGTTATCTATAATATCGGATGAGCGCTCACACATATGCAACAAACAGGCCCTGAAGTTCATCCCCAACCACCGCGTCCTGCCGGAAGGCTTCCCGACATCGTTCCTCGAGTATCTTTCTCCGCGGTCGACCCTCGCCCCGCCGCATCCCTCGCCGCTGGCGGCCAACCTGCTGAACGTCGACGGCGTCTCGTCGGTCTTCTACGGTGCGGACTTCATCACCGTGACCAAGTCCAGCGACGCGAACTGGGCGCACATCAAGCCGGAGGTGTTCAGTCTGATCACGCAGACGGTGACGACCGGCGAGCCCATCGTCAACACGGTGGCCAAGACCGGCGAGCATGCGCAGGAGGGTGGCGAGGAGGAGTCGCTCAGCTTCAACGAGGAGGACGACGAGGTCGTCGCTATGATCAAGGAGCTGCTGGAGACGCGCATCCGACCTGCTATCCAGGAGGACGGTGGCGACATTGAGCTCCGCGGGTTCGAGAACGGGATCGTCATGTTGAAGCTGCGCGGTGCTTGCCGTACTTGCGACTCTAGCACTGTTACCTTGCGCAACGGTATTGAGTCCATGCTGATGCACTATGTAAGTCTTCCTTCTCTCTCTTCTTCGCTGCGGGGGGTGGGGAAACGATCGAGTAGCACCGCGACTAACAAACACTTTTCTCCACAGATCGAAGAAGTACGAGGCGTCGAGCAGGTATTGGACCAAGAAGAGGAAGTGTCCATGCACGAGTTCGCCAAGTTCGAGGAGAAGCTGCGCCAGCAGAAGGGACCCGAGGCGACAGCCAGCGGTGGTGCGATTGACGCGACATCTTAAAAGCATTTATTTGTTCTTTCCTTATTGACTTCTTTCTTGTGTATTACTGAATGGTGCGGAGTTATCTCGACTGCGCGATGCAGTTCACCATCTGCCAGCTGTATAGTGGATAAAAATAATTTAGATCCGGTAGAGGAATGACTGATATATTAAGTACATTTTAAATACATACTCAAGTATATCAGGTATATGAACCCATCTTCTCCATTCATACATAGTAAGGTAAAATCAAATGATAGGTATGGTATGGCATGACATGACACCCTTCGGGATCTCCCCGTCCACTACTCCATAGCACCTAGTCTAGTAGTAGCAGTAGTAGCAGTAGTAGTATTTTGTTGCCTGGGGCAGGGCAGGGCAGGGCAGGGGCACGCACCGCTCCACTATAGCCCCTAGTAAAAACCACTCACTACTAGACACTACGGAGCGCACCGGTGTAGACTGACTGTATCCAGGCTAACTAACCGGGTATGACTGCTCCGAGGCAATCAGCTAGGAATGGATTGTACCTGCCAATCCGATGCAACGTATATGCCACTACCTAAGCAAGGTAGGTAGGTAATGGCCTGGTCGCTACTGGATGCTAACTGCAGTGAGCTTCTCCACCATCATGAAGCTGTTTATTTCTTACCTACTTAGTTAATGCCCCGTAACTAGTAGCTTCTAGGAGTCAATATATTATCACCTTCTATTAGGTACCTGGTAGCTAAGGTAAGGCAGTGCAGGGCTCGTAATCTGACAAGTATGACATGTATGTATGGTATGGTATGGGGCGGCGTGGCGTGGCATGTTATGTCATGTCATGTCAGTGTCAGTCAAAGCGACCGGAGCTCATTCCCACAACGTCAACTGACTCACTCTCCTCCCTCAAAACCTTGGGTTGAGATTGAAGTCTGGTTGATTTAGTTGTTTTCAGTCTGGGTGGCCCGGAGCTTTTCCCCGAGACTTTCTTTCTCTTCCCTATCTTTCCTTGCCTTTCCTTTGTGGGAGGGAGGAAGAAAGAAAGTCAAAGTGAAAGTCATGGCGTAAGGAGGTTTTTTCCTTTCAATTTACTCTTGACTTGAATGGAAAAGAACAATCTGGACCATTTATGTAATTAATGAAAACCTAGTGTATTTAACTAGGGCCTATAGTACATATAATACCGTACCTAGTACGTAGGTAGTAAGCTAAGTTAGCTCGTCTCCGCACTATTAACCCGTTTGATGACGATGGTCCTGTTGCTTGCTCTAGGCTCTCTGTCTTCCCTTTTGATTGCTTCCCCGCAATGTGGTCTACTTACTTCCTCCATACATTGAAGCTAGGAGCTTGACAACATGTGCCTGTTAAGTAATGCTCTAGTGCCTGTGGGCTCCAGTCCATTAACTGATCCACTGTAACTGAACTTTTGTCCCTTCCGAGGATTGACCCTCCGAGGGTAACATGGATCACGACACTATGACGTCTACATCTTGTATTCCGAGGAGAACATAGGATGAAAGAAAGAAAGGAAGAGCGAGTGCTGGGTTGTGGATTGCGCCACATTGTTTCTTCAACTTGTCTGTTCAGAGTTAATTATTTTGTATTATTCACTACTGATGCTTACTTTCTTACTTTCCTCCTCTTATTATGTTATGAATATATTATGTTAAATCACCAAGTCAATAGATACCTAATAGGTCATTGATTCTTCGCTGGATTTACTGTACTATAGCCTAGTTAGTGATAATATTATTATGCATGTACTTCCATCCGAGCAGCCGACCACGATCTTCCCCTCTCTCCGCATCTTGGTACGTCCGAGCTCCCTGCTAGTCTGAGGGGGAAAAGACTTAAAGAGTGTACTACACAGTAAGAGAGGAGACAGAAAGAAAGGAGGGGTTGATGAGGGATTGGATCCCTGGTTTTCCTCGATGCATGTCGGACGGATGAGGTTAATCCGGGGTAGGTGGGAAGTGGTCTCGTCCAATCGGCTCTATATCGACTTTGGTTTGTGCCGTCCGTGATATTTTATTTTATTTTATATATATATATATATATATATTTATTTAAATTTGATAGAATACTTATATAGGGGAAGATTCATGATTGCTATCATATTTTAAGAACAAGTATAATAATAATAATAATAATGATGATGGTACTACTCTACCAGTTACCATAGGCCAGTCAGAACCCCGGACGATCGTCGACCTGGTGCCTCCACCGTGACCCACTGCGAAGCGTTCCATCGGCCGTTCCTATCCTTTTATTATATTGATTTTCGAAAAGAAAGTCGAAAGATATTATAATATTTCTTCTAATAAAGACAGAATAAATCAAAATAGAAGAGATAATAAAAAAGATCGAAGAAGAAGTGTACATGCCAACTTGTACATTACATTGCGCATGCACATGCACTGCATCCGATCAATCATTCGAATGAATGGTCCTGATGCGATGGATGCTTCGGATCGAGGACTGTCCATTTGATTGAATGTACGACTTGATTCATTGGAGGGGATGTGCTAGAGATTGCTGGAATAATAATTCTTATTTTCTGTTGTTATTTCCATTCTATAATCCATCTATCGTCCAGGAGAAAGAAATGTCCAGATCGGATCAAGTATCTAGACTCCCGTCGATTTACCCCGCCCTTTGTTAGTCCTCCGTCTCGACTGTCGGTCATCCGTGGTGACGGTGGGTAACCCATTCCCCCCTCTTCGTTGATTTGATTGATTTATATCCTTACCCAGCCAAAGAGAGCGACAGAAGAAAGGCACAAACCCAAAGAGAGAAGAGAGAAGAGAGAAAAGAGGAAAAGAGAAGTGAAGATTTGCGCCACTGCTAGTCAACCCGTGGCTCGTTCCTTTCCGACTCCTGCTTTCCCACCAGTCACTGTTCACTGTCCACTCGGCGCCCCGTTCCACTTCCAGCCAGAGCTCTCCAGAGTCCAGTTCTTCCTCTAGCTCGACTAAGTAAGTTGCTCTCTCTACTGTATTTTATTCCATTTAACATCCTCTCCTCTTGATTTCCTTCCTTTCCTTTCTCCCCCATCCTCCTCCATCCTCCTCCATCCTCCATCCTCTATCCTCTGTCCTCTGTCCTCCAATCTACCGACGTCTATCGTCGATTACTCCACTGTACAACAGCCTCTTCTTTCCTCTCACTTCCCCTTTCCCTCCTTCGTGCCATCCTTTTAGATTAACCCCAGAAAAAAGGAATCCTCTCGTCACTGACATCATTTTGTCCTTTTCCCCTTCTTCACCATCCTACGTTTTTTCGCCTTCGAATAATCCACCCCTGACGGTTCTCTGTCCAAACCGTTCACGTGGTTGCGCCCTAGGGTCTCTTTCGCATCGACGGGCCCATCGAACAGCGTCGCAACCCGTCACATCAGCCAATACCGCATTGGCGAGTTTCCACCGCACCTTGCTCTTCGCATCGACATCCCCTCCTCCTTCTCACATCGTTAGTGAAAAGAAGAGAAAACAAAAAATACAAACAAAAAAAATAAAAAAGATAAAAGAGGGAAGAAAAAAGGTAAAGAACAAGATAAATTCGAAAGACAAGATCCAACAAGAGAAAAACGAAACAAGAAGGTTGTACCACCATCCACTCGATTATCGTCCGATCGTTTCGCCGTGTCTTCCTTTCCTTCCTCCGAGCGACGCTTCGCTCTCCTTTGACTTGCGCTCGTTCGCATCAAGATGCGCTGCTCTTGACGAGATCGACCGACTCTTAAATACTGGAGACTGCTTTCCGAACGTCATTCGTCTTGTCACGTCACCTTACCCGCAACCCTCTCATCCCGGTTTACCATCGGTTGCGACCATAGAGCTCCCCACCACCTTTTTTTTTGTCGCCGTTTCCACGCAGAGAAATTGACGCGGCGTGGGGATATCATACCATTTGATCGGGGCTTTACAGAACAGGGGACATCAGGCCAGAGACCTTTACCCAGACGAAGATAGCGGGTCAGAGGGGCTCTTGGCTTGTTTGATGGAAGCCTGTTTACGACCATCTGTCTCGACTGCTTCGCCTGCGACCATTTCGCATTTCGCTCTCCTTCGCTTTTCTACCTCCGGAGTCTCTCGTTGCCAGACCCCCGAAGCCTGGTCGCTTCTCTCGGGCGCGAATCGACCTTCGCACCGGCCACATTCAATTTGACTGAAAGACTGGGGTTCTTGTTTGGGTTTGGATAGATTATAAAAGTTTCCCTTTGCTTTATCACTAGATTGGTAAGTTCCATCGGGCGGTGGCGACGGGACCGACCACTGACTCAAGGGCTGCTGCAGACGCGATCACGACTTCGGCTGTTTTTATTTCGAGATCTGTTTCCAATATCTGCGCTATCACATCGGATCCTGGTTTGATCTGTGATTGTAATCTTTTAAAGGGTATGTGAAGAGGTCGCATCTACCCCGCGTGGTCTTACACTGTTCCTTGGTACCTGTTTGCCACTTTTCTTTGTCCTGGTGTTGCAGCATTGGCAGAAGAGTGTCTGGGTGGATTCGTACTTCCCTTGTTTCTTGATCGGAGCGGGAACCAGTGGGATCGGATCGTCATATCGATTGGGTTCGGCCCAGTCAGAGTCTGCTTATCACTTGACTATATGTGTCGCTCGCCGTTTCCATATTTGTTACCTGTCCAGTCCGTGCCTCCTGCTTCTGCAATCTCAACTGATATCCAGGCGCAAGGAGTGTAACTCGGTTGCCTATCTGTTTACATCTTCTTCCCTTATTTGAAAGCTATCACTCCGTCTATGATGCTAACCACTCATCCTTACATCAGGTGACCGCGACGCAGACTGAGCTTGAAGCTGCTTTCATCCTTACCCCGTTCGCGTGAATATCGTGCTGGACGGGCTTAACCATCGACGTGGTGATCAAATAGAAACATTCCCTACTCTCACTCGTCCAGACTGACGTCATTTATTGCCCACCCAACATCGGTAAGTGGTTTGACTGCTCGACGTGATATGTGTCGCCCTTGCCTGGCCTAGCCCCTTTGGCTTGCGAGTGGGTCTGGAATTTAGTCATTGCATGCCTCATCAACGGCAACGTCACGCCTTTTATTGGATGGTCGACTGATAGCTGGATCTAGTCCCTCAATATATCTTCCTGTCACGCAACCTGCGACGTACAGGCTAATCTGTCCCCTGAAACAACCATGGCTGCGCCACCCAGCAAGTCTACCCAGGCTCCCAAGCCTATCACCCCCTCGTCGAATGCGAGCAATGCATCCGCTAGGCTGGAGAAGTCCCACCCGGGGGTTCGTCGCTCCACTCCGGATTCTGACGCCCTGGCATCGTCTGACGATGATGGAGATCATTCGCAACTCGCGTCGTCCTCGATGAACGTGCCTCCACCGAAGCCTGCGCGTCGTACCTCGTGGCTGAATGAAATCCCGGCCAACCCCCCTCGCAAGGCCTCGCTGCCGGCCACGGGACCGCTGTCGTCCGGTGCTTCGAACCCGACGAGCCCGGCGACCGATCAGACCGGCTGGCCCACGAACACGGCCCCCGGCATGGTCAGCTCGATTGGCTGGAACCATGTCGGAAGCGGCTCTTCGCCGTGGGGTACTGGCATCTGGAACACCGAGTCGCGCAAAGAACCCCCGCCCCGGCTGGCTGAGATCATTCCTTCGCCGACCATGACCAACCCCCCGCGGCGGGCAACTACTTCAACGAGGAGCTGCTGAGCCCGACCGCCCGCACGGCGTCGGGCGACTCGGCTATTCCGTTCTCCATCCCCCTCCACCCGACGCCCAAGACCTACCGTTCGCAGTCATATTCTGTCGGCCAGCTCGACCCGGAATTCCTCAACTTGGTGTCCACCAAATCAGCCACCCAGCCCCAGCCCAGCCTCAGCCTCACCCCCACCCCCAACCCCAGCATCAGCCCCAGCCCCAGCACCCCAACGGTCGACCCCGGAACGGCCAGTTCTCCGCCCTGCAACATCGCTCGTCTCGACCGAGTCTGCTAGGGGAACTCGGCCACGACCCCGCGACGCTGGGTCGCGTGCGCGAGGACGAGGACGACGGCGGAAGCCCCAGCGGATCGGACCGAAGCTCCAACCACTATACCATGAGCCAGGCACGCACCATCGAGCAGCTATCCCGGGAGAACGCGCTCTTGCGACAGGCCGCCGGGCAGTTGGACAGCGGTGGCATGTCGTCTGCTTCAGCGACGAGCGGCTATGTCGCCGGCCCCAATGCGGGCATCCACAACATCCATCGCATCCGTGGGAGCGTCCCCGAAGAGACCGACCTGGCGGTGGAGGATTTAGACGAGTTGGGGGATATCCCTGGCTACAGCAATATCCACAGCAACACCCGGAGGCGCTTCTCGGAGCACTCTGCCAACCTGGAGAGGCAGCTCCCGGCATTTGCACCCTCCGGAAACCGCGCTCTGGAGAATATGCGCAAGGCCCACTGGCAGACGTCCTTGGACTTCGGCGGCGTGACCGATATTCCCCAGAGTCGACGGCACTCGTTTGCCGACATTCCGATCCGCCACACTTCCGTCTCTGGCGAGTCCCAAGCGCCCCCGGGCCCGAGACCGGGGATGGGGGACCGGGACGATGGCTTTGCCGGCATGGGGGAGAATCCCCTGTCGAGCGCACAGGTCCAAAACCGTGAGTATCAACGCTTCCATGTGGCCCCTCGCCCCGAGGAGCATGAATTGGAGACGGAATATTTACGAGCTCGTCGGTTTGCAGAGTCTTATTTTGCTCGCGACCACGCTCTTCGCGCGGCCGACGGACCCGCCGCCGTACCCACCTCCCTCCACCAGGCCTACGCCATGCCCTACGGCCGGCACCAGCCGGGGCTGGGCCACCCGCACCATAACCAACTCCTGTACATCGTGACCTTCAAGTGCCACCGAGCAGACGTCTTCTACATTCAGGAAGATACGGGTCTCCAGGTGAAGCAGGGCGATCTGGTCATTGTCGAAGCCGACCGCGGGACGGACCTGGGGACCATCCAACATGCCAACATTTCGATGCAGAAGGCCCGCGAACTGAAGCAGCAGTACGCTGAAGAACATTATAAATGGTTGATGATGTTTTCTCGGCAGGGCCAGAGTAACGGAAGTCCTGGTGCCGCCAACGCTCCGGGCGCCGGCGCCGGCGGTAGTGTCCCCGGCTTGAGCGGCAGGAGTGCCATCGGCGGCATGGGTCCCCATGGTCCCCATGCGGCGCAGGATACCGTGGCCGATATCAAGCCGAAGCTGATCAAGCGACTGGCGCAGAACCACGAGATTCTGACGTTGCGCGACAAAGAGGGCAACGAAGCCAAGGCGAAGCGCATCTGCCAGCAAAAGGTCGTGGAGCATCGGCTCAACATGGAGATTCTCGATGCGGAGTTCCAGATGTAAGTTCGCAGCAATCCCCCAGGCTCTGACGCGATGTTCCTATGCTAATCTTCGATCGCTTGACAGGGACTGGAAGAAGCTTACTTTCTACTACTTTGCGGATTCTTACATCAATTTCAACGCGCTTGTAACCGATCTGTTCAAGATCTACAAGACCAGAATCTGGATGTCGGCCATCAATCCGGCGTCCTTCGTTACCCCACCCACCGGGGGCCTGCAGCCGAACCCATTATATACCCCGGAGGCGCAAGCGGAGCGTCCCCACCCCCATGAGGGTCGCGGCTATGGTCACGCCAGAGACGGTATCGATGCCGGACGAGAGGGCGGTGCCAACCAGATGGGCATGATGCGGAACGCCTACGTGGATTCGTATCAGCCGTTTGGCCACAGCCCTCGGCAGCCGGAGCCGGGACTGGGCGGACTTGCGTCTGCAGACCCTTTCTCTCCGCCCGCATACAACCCGAACGCCTACGGTGGTTTAGACTCGAGCTATGGCGATTATGCCGGCCCCAACGGCCCCAGCCCTGGCCCTTCGCGTCTCCACCCCACGGCGGGGGACTGGACCAGTCGATTCCAAGGATTATCCCTGGGGTCTTGAACTGATCCTATGACCCATGACACCTTGTGATACTCGATGTTGTACTGTGTGCTACAACACTATCGCCACTTTTCTTTTCTTCCGTCTGTTTTCTTTTTCTTGTTCGGAAATACACTTTCGTTTTCAAAGACCGTCGCCCAACGTTCAGGATGCGGCTTGTACTCAGTTCTCGTCTCTTCTCTTTGCAATGGTTCTTGACTGCCCGGTGTTTTTGCTCGTTTTGTTTCCCTTATGTGATGTGCTTTTTTTACAAGAGACTAGAAATCATGTGCAACGGTTTTTTTAACACAGAGATTGACGATCCATCGCTAGCTGCTGATACCTAATAGACTTTCAGTTTTATGACTTGATGGCTGGGCTGTGGAGACATCTGCTTTCATTGATTCTTTCCTCTTTCCTTCTTTACCTTTTTATTATCTATTATGTGACTTTCTCCTTGATCTGGGGACTACTACACCAGTGGATCAATTGAAAGCAGGCCCATCTCTACATCCAAGCCATCCTTTCCACTCCTTCGATTCCTACCTTCATGTACTAATTTCTGTCCTTAACGGGTTCTATCCGGCTGTTACCGTGATTGTGCTTCTCCCACCGTCGCTTTTGCTTCCTTGCTTGCTTTGCTTTGCTTGCTTTGCCTTGCTTTGTTGGCGGGGGTCGGGTTCAAGTACACGAGCAGATTTTTTTTAATTTCTTTTACTCTACTTGATGACTTAAATTTGCTTTGCTTGATTTTCTTTAGTGTTATTAGATCAGAAATGAAGACTGAGATTAGATTGATTTTGATAGATCTGTTTGCTATTGAGTGAGCGTAAATAAGATACCTACTATAACCAAGTCTGTTGTACTGGGAAGTACTGCATTAGATAGCGATAGTATTGGCTTTTGGGACGTGCTGCCTTGTAGCCTGAGCAGGTGCTTTGGCCTGAGCACATTTGCCTTGTTTGCCTGGTGGCCTGAGCGGATTGCCAAGAAACAAACCAAACAAAGAAACAAACAGGACAAAACATTTCAGGAAAAAAAAAAAATTGAAAAGGTCTGACAGCCTGAGGCATCAAACCAAGCTGACTCCGCCTGATTGGTCAAGCACGGCAGAAGCTCGCTAATTTGCTTAGTGTCCCACACACAACCTCCGTCGACCAGATCCGCTCATTCCTCCAAACTTTTACACCTGCGAGTATTCGACGACAAACCGACGACCAGCCACGCCGACAAGGTATGTTCCTACTCTGTGCTTTACAATCCTGAGAATATACGAATGCAGAATCCTAGGATTGCGTGACGATATTGCGAATTGAAAGTATCTGATAAACTAACTGCCGATCAAGATGGGTGCCCTCAAGTACGTCGAAGAGATCCAGAAGAAGAAGCAGTCCGATGTGATTCGCTTCCTGCTGCGTGTCCGTTGCTGGGAGGTGAGAACTCCCCTTTCCCACTCGATTGCCTAACGTCCCGCCGGGGTCGCTCGTGTGCTACGCCATTAGGAGAATATTTTGCGTCGGAGAGTCGAGAGAAGATTTTTTTTCGACGGGGCGGCTTCGAAAGCGAAACACCTGTTTTGAAATACTTTTGAATACGCCGGCGGATCATAAATGGATGTGGCACACAAGAGGCTCTGGCCCGTACGGGGGGCTTTTTCGTGTGTCTTGCTATACACTCGTTGAACTTTGCTGAGAGTGCATCAATATAGCTCCGTCAGCTGAACGCTATCCACCGCGCTTCGCGTCCTTCGCGCCCCGACAAGGCTCGTCGTCTCGGTTACAAGGCCAAGCAGGGCTATGTCGTCTACCGTATCCGTGTCCGTCGCGGTGGCCGCAAGAAGCCCGTTTCCAAGGGTGCCACTTACGGTATATTTCTCTTTCCAGATTTTTTCTTTTCCTTTTCAAAGACTAACTCCATACAGGCAAGCCCACCAACCAGGGTGTCAACCAGCTCAAGTACCAGCGTGCTCTGAGCGCCACCGCTGAGGAGCGTGTCGGCCGTCGCTGCGCCAACTTGCGTGTCCTGAACTCCTACTGGATCAACCAGGACTCGACCTACAAGTACTTCGAGGTCATCCTCGTCGACCCCCAGCACAAGGCCATCCGCCGGGATGCCCGCATCAACTGGATCTGCAACGCGGTCCACAAGGTTAGTTTCTCTTCCACGTTTGGCAGTGGTATGAAAGATTTTGTTAACATGGTTTTCAGCACCGCGAGGCCCGTGGTCTCACCTCCAGCGGCAAGAAGTCGCGTGGTATCAACAAGGGCCACCGCTACAACAACACCCGTGCTGGTCGTCGCCACACCTGGAAGCGCCAGAACACCCAGTCCTACTGGAGATACCGTTAAGTGTAGATGGGTGGTGTTGGGGGAAAAGGATGATCTCTTGGCGGATGTTTCTATATCCATCACGACTCGCTTCTTCTCTCTGCCGGGGGGCGAGCTTAATGCAACAGATCCCTTCGGATTGGATGCTAGCAAAAAACTTCCTCTTCTAATTTTTCTTCAATCGAGGAGCGGACCAGCTTTCTCGGGGTTCCTAACGAAGTATGACGACTTTATTTTCTTCCCTGCACCTGTAGACTAGACGTGTAGATCGTCGATTTGGAGGAGATGGAACCCTGCCGTTAGATATTTACAGGGTGTATCCGTATTGAGAAAGACAATGAAACCTCAATGAAGGACCAGACTTGGGTCTAGACTGCCGTCCTGAACCAGGTACCAACCACAAAGAATAGAAAGAGAAAAATAATCCATCGCCGGTTCAGGATGCAAAGGTGGTATCCACCTGGGTGTCATCCTGTCATGTCACATTGAGAGAATCTGGTCTTCATTCTTTCGATTCTTTCGATTCTTTCGGCTTCGGGTAGGGCGTAAGGCGGTGAGGGGATTTGGTTACTTTACCTTGACTGTATTGAGTGACGTATGTTGAGTATTCCTTCTTATTATCATTGACTATTCTACGTTCTATATATAGGTGGATCAGATGAGATACAATCTTCAGCTTGATTTGAGATAGTTGTCTTTCTTTCACATCCTCACTTGAAAACAATCAGTGGGTGTTATCTGAGAACAGCTTGGATGTTACATTATATGATCCCACTCCGTGATCTATCGTCGACTAAAGCATCAACAACTGAACTATTGGACTAGTAGGTACAGTTACGATGTAAATCGGATGACTGATCGGGCTAACTTCTCTCAAGATCCCCACATCGACCAACTTCCTCTTCTTGGCTGGAAACGAACGAACGAACTAAACGCTCTGGGTCCAGTTTCCCTTAATAATTCGGCAGGATCCGGTTGGACCTGAACCTAGGAACAACTAGTTACTCGACGCCTAACATCGCTCTTCTTCCCTCGAACCTTACTATCCCCCCATTTTCCACATCAACCCTCCAACCTTCAAAGAAACCATCCGCTGAGCCCTCAGTCGGTGGGATCAAATGCGCCCCCTATGCCGTTGCGCGCCACGCCCAACCACCCCTCCCACCCTCCACCACCACCACCCTCGAACCCACCCGCCGTCCGCGCCGGTCCCTCCACCATCACCCCATCGCTCATGAACAGCGTCCCCCCCATCACCTCCCCCCACGCCACAGAGGCCACTCCCGATCCATCAGCCACCCATTCCCAGCCATCGGCAACAAGCGCCATAACCGTTCGCAGAAGGAGGACTTCTTGGATTCCGACGACGACGATGATGACGATAGTGATCAAGTGACGTATCTGCCGCTGCCGGACTCCCTCGCGTCGCTGTCGACGAGCCCGCACAAGGGCCTTCCGCGTCCCTCGCCGGCCGAGGATCTGACGTCTGGGAGGTGTATGACGTGTAATTCGACTGTGCGCTGGCCGAAGCATTTGAAGGTCTTTCGCTGTACGGAGTGTTTGACGGTCAATGATTTGGAGGCTTGCAGGGAGTCGGTGGAGGCGAATCATGGGGGTAGTAACGCTAAGGATGGGAGGGGGACGGCTCCGTCCATTTCGAGGAAAGGTATGTATTCTCTACTCTTTGGCCTGGCCGTACTATACTTCTGTCGTATCTGTTGTGTCCCGTCGTACTGACTCTCGTATAGCTCTCCCGGTGTCGATCGAACGCACGCGAAGCTTACTAGATGGCTGTCTGTCGGCCTATCTTCGTCAATTGCTGGAACCCCCCGGTCCGCGACCCGGTCCGCCACCCCCGCGCACGGACAAACACCTTGCGTTGGGCCAGGATGAGAATCTGTCGCGGTCCCCGAACCAGTCGTCCTACCTGTCTGAGCCCCGGCGGCCCGCAGACCCGAGGAGTCGCAGCGCGTCTGCGTCCAGCCGCCCGGGGAAACCGGATGGGATGGGCGGGGCAGCCAACTATATGAAGCCGCTTCCGCCTCCGCCGATCCAGCACGGAGAAGGGAGGGACTCGCAAATGCGGAGTCGCGACGCGCAGAACGCACCCAAGTCGGAACGCCCGCTCCGGGGCCCCAGTCGTCCTCCCGAGTCCGATCCCGCAGACCGCCAGACGAGTCGTCCGTATATCTTCAGGGCTCTGGAGGTATACATCATCTCCCATTTCAAGGGATCGGACTACTTGAACGCCTCGTTCACCACCGGCCAGCATGTGCCGCGGGCGGCCAGCGAGAGCGCCCCTCCCAGACCGAAAGGAGAGTCGGGTAGTGCGCCGGCCCATGCGCATCCGTCATTCGAGCCCGATGCAAAGACCCTTCTGGTTGGCAACCTCGCGGAGAACTCCACGTGGTGGACGCCCGAGACCAACGGAGGCGCCAGCCACGGTCATCCGCCTGCGAAAGACAAGGGCCCCGCTACCCCCTCCCGGGCGGTCAACTCCCGCTCGCCTCGGATCAACTGGGGAGAACTCGCGCACTGGTACCACCTGATCGTGACGGCTGGATCGTTGTGGGTGGAGAAGTGGAGCGCGATGCAGCCGGACGAGCTGCGGAGCGAAGAGGATTACGCGAAGGCGCGGAGATGGGACGCGGTCGACCTGAGCGTGGTGGACCGGGAAATTACCGAGTCGCGTCTGCACCTGCACCGGACGCTCCTCAAGGCCACGGAGAACCTGCTGAAACGCCCGCGACGGCCGCTGCGCAAGCCAGAGGACACCAGGTTCCTTCTAATCTTACTGGCGAACCCGCTGATATACCCCTCCAACCCATCGCTGGCGTTACACACAACGCCCCGCGGGGACACCAGGCCCATTGATCCCCGCGATCCCAGCCAGCGAGTGACGCCGCGCGACATCAAGTCGCCCCCAACCCGCCACCGCAGCGGCGGTCCGGGACATCACTCGGGCATCGTCAAGCGCATCCTGGGTCTCCTGGCCAACTTGCCGAACGACTGCCATCACTATCTCATCTCGTGGTTTTCGCGCCTCCCCGTGTCGCAGTTTGAGAAGATCGTCGACCTGGTTGGGGGCTTCGTGACCTACCGCCTGACACGGCAACATGGACGGAAGCGGAGTCAGACTACGAACGAAGACAACAGTCTAGTCCCCAGCTTCTCGAGCGCCGCGGGAAACACCGCAGCCGAGTTGCACGCCGCGATCAACGGGTGGGGACCCAGCAAGAAGAACAACGACAAGCGGGACCAGCCGGTCGTCTACAGCGACGACTGGCAGGTCCGGGCCGCGGCGCGGGTGATGTCGCTGCTCTTCACGGCGAACAACTCGAGCGTGCATCGCAAAGCGGACGGGCCTCTAGGCGCGGCAGCGGGCTCGAGCAAAAACCAGCCTAGCCGGCGGGGACACATGATCCCTATCAGCTCTTTCTACAATACGCTCCTGGACTACAGCGACCTCGTGGCTGATTTTGAGGCGTGGGAATCCAAGACGTCCAAGTTCTCTTTCTGCCAGTACCCGTTCTTCCTCAGCATCTGGGCCAAGATCCACATCATGGAGCACGACGCTCGTCGGCAGATGGAGGTCAAAGCGCGCGAGGCTTTCTTCAATAGCATCATGAGCCGTAAGGCGGTTAGTCAGTACCTCGTGCTGAAGGTGCGGCGGGACTGTTTGGTAGAGGACAGTCTGCGGGGGGTGGGCGAGGTTGTCGGCTCCAGCCAGGAGGAGACCAAGAAGGGACTGCGGATCGAGTTTGTGGGCGAAGAGGGGATTGATGCGGGAGGGCTCCGCAAGGAGTGGTTCTTATTGCTCGTGCGGGAGATTTTCGATCCTTATCATGGTGGGTTCACCTTCGTTCTTGTCCGGGGAATGACCTGATCAATGTACTAATCGATGAGCAGGACTCTTCCTCTACGATGAAGATTCGCAATTCTGCTACTTCAACCCGTACTGCTTCGAGTCGTCCGAGCAGTTCTTCTTAGTGGGCGTGCTGCTGGGGTTAGCGATCTACAACTCAACAATCCTAGACATCGCCCTCCCACCATTCGCCTTCAAGAAGCTGCTAGCAGCAGCGCCTCTAACCAGCGGACCACAGCCATCGACAACGCGATCACCCTACAAATGCAGCCTCGACGACCTAGCCGAGTACCGCCCCGCTCTAGCCAAGGGCCTCCGCGGCCTCCTAGACTTCGAAGGTGACGTGCACGAAACATTCTGCTACGACTTCGTCGCGCACGTCGACCGCTACGGCGAAGTCGTCCCCGTGCCCCTCTGCGCAGGGGGCGAAAACCGCCCCGTCACCAACGCCAACCGCCGCGAGTTCGTCGACCTCTACGTGCACCTCATGCTCGACACAGCCGTCACGCGCCAATTCGAGCCCTTCAAACGCGGCTTCTTCACCGTCTGCGGCGGCAACGCGCTCTCCCTCTTCCGCCCCGAGGAAATCGACCTCCTCGTCCGCGGCTCCGACGAACCCCTCGACGTCGCCTCCCTCAAAGCAGTCGCCACCTACGATAACTGGCCCGACCCACGGCCTGAGTCGACTCCGACAGTGCGCTGGTTCTGGGATATCTTCGAGACGTCGCGGCCCGCCGCGCAGCGTCAGATCCTGTCGTTCATTACGGGCAGTGATCGGATTCCGGCGATGGGGGCGACGAGTTTGACGATTAGGGTGTCGTGTTTGGGAGATGATACGGCGCGGTATCCGACGGCTAGAACGTGCTTTAATATGCTGGGCTTGTATCGGTATCGGTCGAGGGGCGAGCTGGAGGGGAAGTTGTGGGAGGCGGTTGTTTGTAGTGAGGGGTTTGGGTTGAAGTAGTTTTCTTTCCTGATTCTTGTTTTTCGACTTTTTTTTTGTTGGTTGGTTGGTATACGGTATAGAGGCATTCATAGGAGCGTTACCTTTCTTTATTTATATTGGTTGAATGGGAATATTGTTATATCTACCGTATTTGCCTAATTAGAGAGATGGTAGCGACTGTGACGAGGTAGGAGGTAAATCCATCTATCTATCGGCAATACTATACTACCGTTCAACGGGTTGGTTGTAGTAGTGGTAGAGATGATGGTGGTGAATGATGTAGCGATGAGGAAGGGAGTTCCTTTCTTTCTTTTCTGAATTATGTGTCTAATTAGCTTGTTTATTTGGTTTGATATTCGTATATTCAATTTTGTTGGGGCCGAAAACGCGACACTGCTATGTGAGGCTGCCGTAGCGGTAGCGGTGGTGGTGAGTGATGATGCAGCGATGAGGGTGAGTGTTCCTTTCTTTCACCTTTTGATTACTCTATCTATTATCTAGCTGTTTACTTTCAATTTGCTGTTCCATTAATTCGCTTCTGTTGAGGTCAAGAATGAGATACAGCTATGTGAGGCTGCCGTAGCGGCGATGTTGATGTTGGTGATGATATTAGCGACGGATGAAATTTCCGCGAGAGAAAAATCCACGCAAAAAGGTCGATACCAACTTTCAAACTTGACACCCTTTTTTTATTGCTCGATTGGATTCTCACAGTCATGGAGTATATGGATTAATTTATTTGAGGAGGAGATCTTTTTATTCGGGCGAGTTATTCGTGTTTGTTTTTGGTGTCGTTGGGTGGGATTAGTACATTATCGAGTACTAGTATGTATGCTACTTGGGGGTGGTTTGATGGATTAGTACTTTGGTTGATTGTTAGAGTAGAATGTATATTCTACTGTCTACCAGACAGGTATGTATGAATATGATTGGGTATCAGAAACAGCTTGGTTCAGTGGCTGGCGTTCTGTTTCTGGGATTCGAAGACTCGAAGTATACAGAGCAGTGACTGCACTTAGACTGGAGTGAAATGCACTGAACGTAAGTTATATTGGTTACTGAGGATGAATAACTTGGTTGTGCTGTTTTTCTGCTTTCTCTTTTGTCTTCTTCTTCTTCTTCGTCTTCGTCTCTTCCTTCTCTTCTCACAGTCATATCATCTCAGCCACTGCGCCGAGATCCCGAACGACATCTGAGTCGGACCTGATCGCTGCAGGCCAATATTCACTCCACCTAGCGTTCTGAGCGCGCTGGCTCTATGAGGAGCTTGATACACAGAGAGAGAGAGAACAGACCAGGACATCGCCGTCACGGAGGTGGGAAGAGGGACGTCGAGATTCCTTCGATATCATGGTCAGTCACGCTGGTCGAATAACTTACACACTGGACCTTCTGTACAAAGTCAATAGATAACTGCAGAGGACCATTCGACGATGTTCGTTCCCGAGAGGGGATCGGACCCCGACTTGACTTGGTTTAATGTAATTTGTCTCTTCAGAGCTCCGGGCTGATACATTCACTGAAGCTTCTCTACATCATACGTGCTACAGCTAACCTTGTTGGCTCCCATGGTTCTTGATATGCTACCCTTCCGTACAGTAGTGTTGATACTAATATGAATGTAGGCCTCGAAACAGTGGGTGTTGGCTTTTGGAGGCCTCGAAATGGACGTAGCCAAGACCTTCATGACAGGAGCAGTCGGCATTACTTGACGACGAGAGTGTGCCTATTCCAGCGCCTGCTTACTTTAGTATCTATCTAGTAGCTGTTGCAATTGCCATATACTATCCGTAGATTGGTAAAGCTTAGGTTCGCCCCTTGCCCAAGGAAGGAGCGATAGCTAGTGGTCACTATTTGTTTTGCTGTCTAGTAAATTACGCGGCATGTCTGAAGAGAAACTTCAACAGTAGCAATAAACACATACGAAGGCGCCTAGAAAAACCAGCCAATTCAGTATCTGGTTGGCTATCACTTGAATCATCCAACTCGAACAGTTTCCCTCTGTTAATCAAGGGCAATTATCCCAAACTCGGTATCTAGGCAAGACTTCAATGTATGCCTCGAGGCTCGGGTGACTTTCTGGGTATGTACATGATGCTGAAATCATAGAATAACAGCGTCAAACGCAAGATATTTTCAGCATGTCGAAGGCTCCTAAGATATTCGGTGACATGGTCATTAGCAATATACGAGCGTGGTGCTCAAGCTTTCTAAGGAGTATTCTCCTGCTGTCGAATCCTGCCACCGAGAAACAGGACACACGATGGGACATAACAATGTCTATTGACATAGGAGAAGAAGTGAATGATACGACAAGCTACTGATTTTTATATCTTCAGGTCAACCCAGGCAAAAAGTGACAGACTCAAGGACTGGCTACGAGCAAATCCCCATGGAAACCTCGCAACCGCTTAGGTGAATAGGAACACGCCGAAAATACAGCAACCGGAGGAGAGCAAGCGTTTGATTCCAGAGTCAGTGAAGCAAGCTATGGAAAAGTTGTGAAGTATACAGAAGGGGTCGGGAGACTTTAGTGGAATAGCCGCTTTTTGGATGCCACCCCCGGTCACGATTCTTCACGCATTGTCTTGATATGTTTCTCACAGCCGGAAGTATTTAGTTCTACTTTCGGCATGTGAGGTTTTCGTGAATAGGGTGTGCTCGAAGTGTTTCTATTGCAGGCGGGATCGGATTGGTATATTATTAACTAGTATCTACTACGCATGTACGGTCATTACTTCGAACGATGAATCAGAAGTGCTAATATATGTACGAAGTACTCCATAATTAGTAGACTACCAGTATTTCCACTATGTATGATCAGACTCCCTACAACTTTGACGTCGTCCAAGGGACTGGGGACGTCAAGACCCTGGAAAGTGCCACCAACTATGTTCATCAAGCTTGACTAGTAGCCCAAACTGGGCACCATGCTATCGATATCATGCAGCTCAAACTACCTAAACTGCATGTCGTATGCTCTTGAACCCTATATGCCGTAGTTCGTCCTTAGCCCCAGCATAGCTCATATGACAACGGAGACGCGATAACAGACAATAACCATGAACACAGGAGACACGGCATGACCGAGAAGACATCAACTGACTGCAAACTTAGAGACCTGCTAGAGTTACCTGGCTAATCTCGGACAGGATTCTACAAGCCAAGAATGAGGCTGCAGCATGGCATCGGCACTCTCATCTACTGGATATGATCGCTTCAGATCAGTACTTCCGCACATTTGCAGATCCTTTCGGGTTATCTCTGGACATGACGGATATCCTGTCATGCAATGCATCGCTTGCAGCTGTTCTGTTCCCACACAATGAACATTGAACCATTAGTTTCGCTAAATCTATATACATGCATAGCCACTGCAGCTGGTATGCGTCCCTATTCGAGGTGGTTGCCCAAGGTAGGCATTCTAATGACAAGTTACAAGAATCCACTATTACTACCGGTTCAGAACTAGAGACCCTTGACTTGTGGGTTGGCGTTTGGTATATGCACCTCGCCATAGTTGAATCGTTCGTGCTGTAGGCCACGGAGTAGGGCTGCAAGTGATCGTAGATGGTTGAAACGATTTAAATTCTCTATATAGTTCATTCATTAGAGGGAATAAGTACATACGACCATAGGGTGTGGAGAACAGGGCTTCCCGTCCGCTCAGCCGTACTTAAGCCACACGCCGGCCGGTTAGTAGTATGGTGGGTGACCACATGCGAATCCCGGCTGTTGTATGTTTTTATAAATAAATTTTTATTTGCTAAGTATAGCCTGAGCTGAGATACACGATACAGGTTTCATGACTGATTAAATGTCATGGCTCATAAGTCTAATATAGAAGTTATAATAAAAACTAGAAATAATAATATAAGTATAAAAATAAGAGTAAGAGCAAAAGTAAGAGTAAGAATTAAGATAAGAATATATATAAAGCTATAATAGTCATGATATCTGAGAAGCTATAAGAGTTAGCATGATAGTTAAAGTTATTTTTATAAGAAATACAGGATGAAGTCTTTAATATTAGAGTTTTTATTTATATTATTTATTTTCTTTATTTAACATGTTTATGTTTCTTAGCATCCAGCCCATGCGGGGAAATCAAGATGAGAGATCCGTGCTCTGATCTATTTCCTACCCTCATTTCAAGACATCTCCCTGAGTTCGTTGTGTGCCGCCTAGGCTGCAGCTTAAACCAGTTGATACAGCCATGGAGGCCCTGCAGCGGAACCTTTGTACTTACTGCAGCAACATTGATTTTAAGAATCTCCCAGCTGAGGAAGAGCCGGCGGTCCCTCACCAACCCAGTCTTGAGGCGCTAAAAGCGTCAGCAGAAAGTTGTCAGCTTTGCCATTTGCTTTGCAAAGTCGTGAACATTATACGAAGCGATATCAGAGGGGAGCAGAATGGTCGCCTCCCGAAAACTGCCGGAGTCTTTTCCTATGTCCAGGGTGTCATGGTCTACTCCGGCAGGAATGCTATGGGCACTTTTCACACGTCAATAGAACCCTCGGAGAATCAGAAGACGTCATTAAACAGACGAACCACATTGGCCCCTGACGCCCAAGTGCGACCTTGGCTTTTTGGTAACTGGTGGGCATGCTCGGCGGCTTGGATAGGGGGAAGGTATGATCCTGTTGATGAGTCTCATTGGCGTCTCATCGGCCTAGGGGTTCGCTTGGGTCGAACACAAGCGGAAGCGGAGGGGAATTCCAGAGAGAATATTCCCATACATCGCGGCACGTACCTTCGAATCAGAACTGATGATAGTACGTAGTGTACTAGGCCGTTCCTTCTTGTTGGCCATGCTCTAACCGATACTTCTAGAATCTAAGATCACGTCCATCGCCCCTGGCCGTTTATGTATGGCCGACTATTCGTCCAACATTGCCCTGGAGCGCATACGACAATGGATTATGGCCGACGACTTGCATAACAAGCAGCCGCCACGACTCTTCGCACTTCCGTCGCGGGTCATTGATGTGGACCCCGAGGCGTCTCCCACTGACGTCCGACTGTTCGAGGCCAAAGGGAAACAAGCCCGCTATATTGCATTAAGTCACCGATGGGGAGGAACTAAGACACTCACTACGACCTCTACGACTCTCGAACGTCGGCTCTCTGGTATTCGCTGGGACGAATTGCCCAAAACATTCCAGGATGCTGTTCAGATCGCAAGACTGCTCCATGTCCGGTATTTGTGGATTGATTCGTTATGTATCATTCAGGACGATACAGAGGATTGGAATCGAGAATCGTCCAAAATAGCTGATGTTTACGGCCAGGCATACCTGACCATTGCAGCTGCATTTTCTACCGGCTCGTCAAGTGGATGTCTTCTCGGGTACAGCGAAATCTGCAAATATAATGCGCCCTCTCCGGACGAAAGATCGTTAGGGATTCGGAGTAGCAATGGCCGTCGCCCTCGGCTGGCCCAGGACATCCAAACACTGCAGCGAAGAAGCCGGGAAGTCGCGAGTCTATTTGTGCAAATGGATACTATCTTTAAGCGTGATGTTTCACGCATCTATATAACTCTGGAATGGATGCCGTCTTCCTTCAAGACCAAACCATCTACCTATTCTATTCCGGAATTTGGCTGTCCAGTTGACCCCTTGGACAGAAGTGAGTTGAATCAGAGAGGTTGGGTATTACAAGAACGACTCCTCTCCCCTCGCACTTTGCACTTTGACAAAGATCAGATGTATTTGGAGTCCGAGACGTCGATTATTGCCGAGGATGGCTCAGAAATTAAGACTCAGCTATTCAGCCTTTCGTTGCTGTTACTGCGTGAACTCCAGTCATGGTCCGACCACGGGATCCCAAAGCACGAAGGTTGCTCTCTCATCGAAGGCCATGCAATTGCAGGCCATCGCCCACATGGACGCTGGGATGGTGGGTGGATCCAGCACATAGAGGACTACTCCAGACGCCAACTTTCCGTACCCGATGACAAGCTTGTTGCGCTGTCTGGTGTGGCCAAATACATAGCAATGAATACGAATGGTACTTACTATGCAGGGCTCTGGGAGAGCCACCTGCATGAGGATCTAGCATGGAGAACCTATCCTCAGGACGAGGTTAGGGTTTTCGCCCCCGATGGGTTTGAGCATCAACTATCAGACGTGTATTATCCGACTCAAATTCCTGCCCGGTATCGAGCTCCTTCTTGGTCGTGGGCATCGATAGATGCTCGGATCAAGTTTGTTCCTCTTGACTATGGAAATATCGTCGCAGAGATTCTTCATTGTCACGTCGATGAAAGTACTCCATTCGGGACAGTCACAGGGGGCTGGATAAAGATATGGGTAAGATAGCACTGAGTTTACCTGTGAGACTGTTTTTGGCCTCGATATTAACGCGTTTTGTCATAGGCACCGCTTTTCAAAATCTCACAGTGTCCCCCGGACGCCAAAATTGACAAGAAGGACCCGATTGGATTTGGCACACTGGTCCAGTTCCAGCTTGATGCTGGAATTACGCTAGAGGGGAACCATTATGATGGAATCTCGTACGGAGAGGGTTTCTTCGATGTCGCTCCATCTTTCCCATGTTATGCTCTGTTCCTGGATTCATCAAATGCACTCCTTCTGCAGTCGTCCCAGCAGAAGTACAAGCGCGTTGGCTTTGGCAGATTTCTGCGCACGAACAAGCAGAGAGTTTTGAAGCCTCTCCTTTATCAGCAGGAACCGGGAATTGATGATGACGGTCAAGGAGCCCTTCCAAGGCGCGAAAACATCCCTTATGGCCCAATCGGGCGCAGCCAGCCTTGTACATCTGTCATAATTATCTGACCGATGGAATGATCTACCATTTCTTCACTTGCTCTATCTATGAGTTTACAGATACTTTTCAAACAGGCTGCGAGTCTGTGTATAACACAACAGTACCGAGAGTCGCTCATACAAGTTGGGAGTCCCCGCGAATCATCGTAGCCCCTTCGTACCATTCAACAATGTGAGCTAGGATCTGTCTCTTGTCCTTCTCGTAGGACGAAGGGATCGACTGCGCGAAGTCGATCAATCTCTCATCTGGAAGCGTAATCGCCCTCGGCTCATCGCCTTCTGCAGACACCCGACGCTTCTCTAGGTCAGCCACCATCTTCTCCCCGGGCGCGATGAGCAGGATCTTGTCATCTCCCGGGGAAAATTCAAGTTCGCCCGGTGGGAGCCATTCATCTTGGGTGGACGTCGGGAGCTTCCACCGGATATCCAAATCCGGGAACAGATATATGCTCGCATGTTTTCGCCCGTCAATTACAAGGCGCACGGTGATAAAGTTCCTTGGGGATGAGAGAAATCACCATGGATCCAAGACAGCGGGAGGCTCTTTGGTTACACCTCGTCGGAGGAGGGCTTCTTGCTCGAACTGCTGGACGGTCGAGGACAGATGCACTTTCCAATCAATCGATGTCGCCCCCTCGACCGGAACCGATGGGACGCATTCGCTGCGATGGCGAACTTGGTCCGTCTGCTGGCATTCCCGAGAGCAATAGTACCTCGCTCGACAAGCTGCTTGCAACTGGTGAGTTTTGCCGCTTCAGGACCGGGTTTCTCCACGGCAACCCACCTTGGCATAAGGTATCCGGAATCTTCCGTTCTCCGCAGGGTCGGCAGAAGCGTAGGGTCATGTTTGAGGCTCGGGTGAAAAAATGGTGAGGTGTACTGATACGATGCAAGACACGGAGGGATGCGGGGCAACCAAGCTTTATTTCATCCGCACGCGCGCCTTCGTGAACCATGCTCAGTATTCACTGCGTGAGGCTACAGCTGACTAAGAGACTTGGGTATCTTTGGTCCGTGTTGGATCTGTTCTTCGTCTATTGGTTGGAGTGCTCATGCCTGGGTCACTGTTCGTATAGAAACTTCTCACAACAACAACAATAACAACAACAACAACAACAACAACAAGAACCCAACAGCAATCCAATTCATTTTTCAGATATTCACTGGCTCCTTATGTTTGTCCACTTGACAGTAGTAGAGAACAGGAGCGATAATAAAAGAAGTGCTGGTCTGGCGGGATCTCATACCTCGGCTGGCTTGATGCCTCGGGATGGGATCAATTACCCCCACAGGCATCTTTACATAGGGTGTGTTAACTGTTATCGCAGTTTTCAAACGCCTATGCTCTAATTTCTCGGTGGCTAATTCACGTAAGCTCTGACTCCATGCAGGACGGCATCAAAGCCCAGACATCTCCAGTGCCGCGCTAACCACCAAACAGGTAGCGAGAAACACCCCGCAACCAACATGCCTGCCATCGCGCCATCCAAGCCCTTGACCTTTGCTTAGGCGGTGGAGATGGAACGGACACCCTTACAGAATGAGATCTATCTAAGCTGATAACTTGTTCTGTTAATTGTTTATGTCTCCGGGGAATGGCTAAGCGTCTAAAGATTATATAAAGAACATGCGCGGGAAATTTGGGCTGCAAGCTTGAAAACCGGTGACATGACATGGGGCTGCGAATCCACAAAGTGAACGGATATTGGACGTAGGCTGGTCACACTAACCAGCTGTTTGCCTTTGAGATTAATAGAGCGCACTTTTTAGTACATATAGAGTCTCTAGTTTCTTAGAAAATAGACTCTGTGGTCTGACTGTGTCGCTGTAAGAGACATATATTGGACTACCAGGCAGGAGACATAACATCTAAACACAGAATCAGTGACTATTCTTCTGACTTTCTAGCCATGCATTCAGATATCTGCTAGCACACTGCATGGTTGCCACCTTTTGCCAAATGAAATTTCAACTCCTCGGCCACCCAACACAAAAGGGCAGAGCGTATTTTTGCGGACTGTCTTAGATACCGCAGCCGACCAGAAAGTTGCCCCGTCGGCCAAGAAGTCGTCTGAAGGGCTAAAACCTGATTACCACTTCCATGAAACTGTAAATAGAATCACAGACTCTCAACTATCAATGTTTTGTTGTAGATTCCAAGTGCGACAATACGTAATCTTCACATATAAAGAATGCCATACAGCCGACAATAGGAACAACACCTACACTCCTTAACACATTAATTACAGCGACACTTCGGCCCTAGAAGTATCGCTCCATCATCAGGCAAAGGCCGCCGGTGTTCTGTCTTCTTCTTCGCCAACTCCAGAACACGCTCACACCGGCCAGAACAATGCGAGTCGCATGCCTTAAACCGGCCGCCGTCATGATCCGGCATCAACGCCAACTTCCCTGTCATCTTGGGCATAAATAGACCTCCTCCGTTCAACCTTGACAGCGCCCGGATGCAGTGAACACTAGCCAGAAGGTACTCATTCTCGCTGGGAAGAGGATCCCACGCAGAACAGACAGTACCAGGCGCGGGCTTAATCGCCGCCGCCAGACCCTTGTGAAAAAGCACCAGCATGTCCTTGTTATCGCGTGCAATGTAGTCCCAGGGCGCAGATTCTCGAATGAGGAGTCTAACACGTTTGTGGTAAGAAGGCTGGCAGAGTGCAATGTCGAAGAGCTCCCAGCCATGGAGCTCGTGCGAGTGGGAAAAAAAGGGCAGCGTGGCATCATTGGAAAAGCGTTGCTGCTCTTTGCGTTTCTCGAGCGAGAGGAATAACTGACTCAGCTTCGTCATTAGAAAGAGATCCTTTTGGTCTGCAAAGGCTTCGCGTAGCTTGATGGTCTTGTTCTCGAAGATCTTGTCATATGCGGCTTGTCCACCGTTGCAAGATAGCTGCGTGAACGGGATGCGACGCAGCAGCTGCTCTCGATCCACTTGCTTCGAGGCCCAGACGTGCGCAATTGTGAGCACAGCGCACAGCTCCGGGACAAGATACCCTGTTTTATTCTCGACATCGTAGAGCAGCAGTGGGGTATCTTTCGAGTTCAGCATCCGGTCCTCAAGACACGATTCTTCGGCAGTGACGGGGGCATGCATGCCCTTGGAAAAGATGAGTTTGGCACCCGCGCCAGCACCAAAGAATCCCATGCCGGAAGTACCCGCAGTCGGGGTAATTTCGCGACTGATGCGTAGGGTCGTCCCGGGTCGCTGGGCGTCTGACAAGTCCACCTGTTCGAACCCCGAGCCGCGAGTCCCAGCGCGGATCCACGCTGCGTTGCAATATCCCAAGAACGCCCTCTTCGATCGGAGCTCATCCACACTAAGGTCGAGAATATGCCATTTCAGGCTGTCAGAAATTTTCTCCGGAGGAAGGTATTGGCCCGGAGCTCCCGAAGAGACAAAATGCCATTGGATCGAGTCGGGACCCGATCCTTTTGTGGGAATGAGCATCGTCGAATGGCCCTTTAGAATCGTCCCGAACGGAAGCTCCAGCGAGTAGGTTATTCGACCCAGCGTGACCATTATATCAAAGGAAATCTCGATGCCCTTCTCGTTTCCCCGTTTCGGCACAGAAAATCCGCTCGCCATGACTGCGGCCCCGAAGAGAGGCGGCCAACATGATCCTGATCCCAGTCTCTGCGGTCCAACCCTTTGCTCACGCATGGTTCCAGAGAGCCCTTTATTGTATCTCGCAGCTTCCAGCGGATTCACTCCCTCTATTCTCTGCTTCGAGGTGAAGGTGCATGAGAAACTCCTGTATCCATCGTTCATCTTTTCCAAACTGACATCGACATCTACACTGGCCAGCTGGTTGTATTGGGGCTCCTGAATCACGCAATGAATCCACGCCAATAATCCAAGAAAACCTTCCAGCAACTTCGGGGTGGCCCATAGTCGCAGATTCAGGGGTCCCTCTGTTCCTGATGTCGCCCTGACAGCATATTGCACCCCCATGCACTCTTTTGAAGGTCCCGATGAGCCTATCAAATAAATCGGTAAGTGGCCATCAACAGGTGCATACTGCAATTTTCAAGGAAACAATCAACACACCTTGCTCCTCACCCAAAGAGTATGCCACCAATTTCTGAAGGAGCATCACACCCTCACTGCCCCAAAATCTCGATACGTATTCCCCACATGTCGCCGCATAAGCATGTCCATCCTCATTCTCACCGAGGCCACCACTCAAGACCACCAGGGACTCAAGATCATCTGTGGAACCACCCAACTGCCGGTCCACAAACCCGCGCAAGTCCCACAACAGGGGAATCTCGAGGTAGCATGATTCGTCATCATCCATGTTTTTCCTGATAGTAGACATCAGGGAGTGCGAGAGCTTGTGGACTGCCTTGCAGCTACGCCTTTCTTGGTCTTGATCCTGCAATGATACCGAAGATGCCCTTGCCGTGCTGTCTGAATGCTGCCTAATCTCAATCTAGATAAACACTTGATTAGAGCATCACCAAAATCAAAGAAGAAAGACACTTACCATTTCTTTAGCCGGGCGACAACCGGAGCAAACTATGTGTCCACACATTACACATAATGGTTGAAAATCATAAAATAATTTCGGGCCATCATTGCATTGACAGCAAAAATATAAAATGGATACCATCGTCGTGTAAATCAAGCTTCAATCCTGCTATAGAAGGGTAGCAGCCACTACGACAAAATGCTGACCAGCACTTTGGGAGGGCTTGATCTGACTGATATTTCACCAAAAGACGTGAAGTAAAGGTGTAAGTATAATGAGAACTGAAATCTGCCTTATGCAATGCTTCTTCTATGTATCGAGGTTGTATCTGTTTCAAGGAAGTGCGTGCTGTTGTGTTGACCTTCCTTCGGCTCCAGCCTTGTTGGGAACACGGTAGATAAATTAAGAAGTTCGGTGCTAGCACAGCCAGGGACGCAGTTACCTATGAGATAAAAGAGCCTGTTTTTCATTAACCCAATAAAGAAGGTGGCAGCGGTTGCCCAACAAGAATAGGTGCGTTGCCCCTCACTCTGAACCTGCGGTGACAGCCTCATCATACTAAGGTGCATCTGTCAAGGCCACGGAAGGATGCGAAACATCATGGACTCCTCTGTATAGGGGACAAAACAAGGGTTAAAGTTTTTTTGTATCCCACTGTATACCTCGGGAATACTAGTCATATTTAGCCTGACCAAAATGTCGCCATTGTTGTTGTAGTGGCTGAGAACTTGAAATATACCCAAGCTATTCGACCACAGCTATGCTTCAAGCAACCTCCTGGTATACGATTGATATCGGATTCTTCGAGTATGCATCGCAGTCTTGGTGTTATACTAGCTATATTCAATCAACTGTCAGACGGTAAATTCCCTTGCTTGTCATATATTGAACTAACGTATGGTTGTATCGTACCTGCAATTGTGGGAGGACCGTTGAAAACAGTCAAAATATACACGATATTGATGATTCTTGAAGCTATGAAAAGGTTACAAATAGTTGCAAAACATTGAGAGTCAAAGTAACAACTTGTGTGGGAAAACACCGCAAGCTAGCTGACATGTTGGCCGATTGCATGTCTCTCAGTTTCCACACAAGTCTTCGAGCCCTTTCTTGACTGTATATGTGGAGTGACTGCAATCAATTAACATGCCAGGCTTTCAGAAGGTCCCACCCTATCTTATATTCTCATTCTTCATGTAACTTGCAACTTTTTCAACCTTCACCATAGCCCCACTACCACTAAGTCTATCGTCCTTTTTACCATTTCCCTCGGTCCTTCCACGATATGGCACCCTAGCTTCAGATAATTTGAAGACTATATAAGGCGTTCATTCTAAAGAACAAGTACATACGACCATAGGGTGTGGAGAACAGGGCTTCCCGTCCGCTCAGCCGTACTTAAGCCACACGCCGGCCGGTTAGTAGTATGGTGGGTGACCACATGCGAATCCCGGCTGTTGTATGTTTTTCTTTTTTTTTTTTTTTTTTTGGGTGGTGGTGATTTGGTGATTAGGATCAGCACCTATGCCGCTATATCTTCAGACCCTTCACTATACCATTGCTCCATCACAGACAGATATTATTAACACCAGAAAGATTCAACCCCATGTTAGTCTTACTTAGGATTATCTGTACTAGAAATTCTCTTCGCGGAAAGTGTGATAAGCCTCTCCTTGAAAGTTAATATACCAGATGAGTTTCATCTAATTTCCATTCCTAGGAATCTAAACGGAATTAAATCCATATATAAATTTTGTATATGTGTGCCTGCCCGAGTCTCGATTTACATTACCCAATAAGAGCCTTTCTAGGAGGTACTATGTATGTTTGTCATAATAATAGTCTTGATAGCTTCGGGATGACCCATTCAGGAAGTAAGATATGTGTGGACCATCAAATTACAAGTATAGCTCAATATCAATCCCATGAAGTATAAGGTCTCTGAAAAATGAAAGTATTTAGAAAAGCATAACATATTCTTCAACCGGACTACTTGCTCCACCCAAACCGCTGACCCTATATTGTATATAAAACTTTTTTCAACACTTAGATATCTCAGCATTCAAATGTCTATAGAGACTAAGTCTTGTGAGACAGGGTTCTGTGCCGAGTGGGTAGGTTATCTTGGTCCTGTGAGACCGAGCGATATTGAATTCAGTGGTAGTAATATTAGCTCATTCTGGTTGATAATATGTGAATTTGGTGATATACAGTGATGGTGATATACAGTGATCGTGACAGTAGAGAGAAAAGACTGGCACAAATTTACAGGTCGGAGTACCGAGGACATGACACGTCATATTATTACATACACTAAATTTTGCATCAAACTAGCTCTCAATAGGTGGGATAGATAGGAAAAGACCTGCAGGTGAATAGCCGGACTTGGCCATGGAGCCTTGTTATATGCGTCACCTCAGCTTCCCCATTTTCCAGCTGCCCCTCCATCGCAGTTCACAACAGGATCTGGTTCATGCGGATCAACCGAAAGAGCTCTTCACAGAAAGTCACTATTATGCCATCGCGATCAGAAACCTCTCGTCCACGCTACGGACTGACCGAAGTGAAGTCCCTCCCTCGAGGGACCGCTCCAAGTGCATTGTAAGAAGCTAGCTTCCTTCCAATTTGGTCCTTTATGGGAGACAGGCAAATGGGCGCTGACAATTTCATATCCAATGTACAGCATCATATTCGTGCACGGACTGTTCGGTGATGCTCATAAAACGTGGAGTGCAAAGTCATCAAAGGACTCACACTCACCTGTCTGGCAACTGGCAGATGAGCATGAAATCTTTTAGCCCAGAGATTTACTGCCAGACGTGATAAAGGATGCAGTTATCTTCACCTGGGGTTATAATGCCAATATTGATGGGCTCTTCACGGCTGGCTCCCAGAATACAATGAAGCAGTATGCGGAAAATCTCCTGGCAGACATTGCGGATAGACTGGCGGATGCTGGACCAGTAAGAAAGCAAAAATTCCAGCTAAGAGGGGAATTATTTATCGAAGGAGATTGCTGAGGCGAATACAGAAACCCACTGCGTCACGATTTATCATCTTCGTCACACATAGTCTCGGTGGCTTGATTGTCAAAGACGTGAGCACCGCAGTATCCTTATTACTCCTGTCAGTGCTAATATGACATGAATCTTGTGCTCAGGCCCTCAATCAATCCTCACGAATTCAAGAAACGCGATTGAAGAATATCGCGCCGCTCACGTTCGGTATCTGCTTCTTGGGGACCCCTCATCGAGGCTCGTCGAGCGCTTCCATTGGAAAGATAGCCTACTCAGCCACGCGGGCAGCCACGCGAAGACCGAATACGATGCTATTGCGTGAATTGGAGAAGAATTCGGATACGTTGGATCGGATCGGATCTGACTTTCTGCAAACAATTCGTGAACACGCTCTTCACATTTACTCGTTCCGGGAGGAATATGAAACGAGAAAGTTTCTTTTCTTTCATTCAGTTGTTGTAAAATCGGACTCTGCGAAGATCGGCCACGCATCGGAGGAAGTCAGTAGCATCCCGGCAAATCATAGCAGCATGACGAAGTTCCAGGACAAGGATGATATTGGATTCAAGCGTGTGAGCGCACAATTGAGTCGTTGGGTGGAGGAGATCAGGAAACTGGAAGATGGCGAGATCGCCAACCAAGGTGAGTGAGGTCCGATGATGAACCGCCGCTTGATTGGCAAATTAGCTAGCTGACCTAGACTAACATCGCTGGAGTAAAAAGTGCTTGAGAGCTTGAGTCATCGAGTCGCTGGAGCACGCAGAGCGGAAATCCATGTTAAGTACGAGTCAACGCTGCAGTGGTTGTTTGATCCGAACGAGGTTGCGTTTATGGACTGGCTCGGCCAAGGGTCGGATTATCCTAAAAAAATCTTCTGGATTCAGGGAAAGCCCGGCTCTGGAAAGTCAACTTTGATGAAAATGGCCCTCGAGGATGAGAGAACTGTAGAGCTTCTGGGGAAAAGCTCGCTACGTGAACATTCGGTGTCGAGCTCGATTTCAAGCATAGAATCTTGCAATTCTTTTGTTCAGTTTGGTAAGAGCAGTGGCTTGCATCATAATGTACAGTCTGCTCCGGTTTGGGTCAAGGCAGGCTTCTTCTTCCATAATCGTGGAGTAGATATGCAGAAGTCACTCATAGGAATGATGCAGGACCTTCTCTTCCAGGTGCTTGAGAAATTCAATTCTCTCGTGGATCTGATTTATCCGATTTATGTGGACCTATCCATCAAATACCAGACAAACCGGCCCCCGTGGAGTCTAACAGCCCTACACCAGGCATGGACGACCATCTGCAAGCAAGAGAAAATCCAGAGCCTTCGGTTGATTTTGTTCTTAGATGCTCTCGATGAACACGAGCCATCGGCTGATGTGAACAACGAGAGGCTGGTTGCGCTCATCACGGAGCTCGCGGCAATCAAAAATGAGAATACTGTTGTCCTATTCTGCATTGCCAGTCGACCATGCACAGCCTTCAAAACACATTTTAGGGGGCATCCCGGCTTTATTATGCAGGATCATACCAAGAAAGACATTGAGATATACACTCGGCACCGTATACTCCCTAATCTTGACAGTGAGTCGGCCTCATCCGTCAGATGGGGCTGTCTCATTGACAGCATAGTGGATAAGGCATCTGGAGTGTTTATCTGGGTCAGGCTGGTTGTTGACGAGATGATAAAGGCTGTGAAAGATGGCACACCGTTTACTGACCTAGAAGAACAACTGCGACGAACACCGGACGAGCTCGGTGAGCTGTACTGGCACGCTATAAAGCGAATTGAACCCGCATATCATTTCGAGGCATATATAATAATTCAACTTGTGACTTATGCACGGAAGCCACTGCTCTTGGGAACTTTATATGAATGTGTGTACTATTTGAAGCATGGGTCGCATTCCGACTACCCAGCATCGACAGAGGAAATGCGACTCTTCCTCAGCAGCAGAAGTGGGGGGTTACTGGAAACCATATTTCGAAAATCTCCGCAAACCGTACTTCAAAAAGTCCTGGCAGGCAATGAGGATTCGAGTGCTTTGCGCAGCCAGTCGACGATGGAGTACGTTCAACCAATCCACCAGACGGTCAAAGATTTTGTCATTAGGAACACCAAGCAGTGGCCGATAGAACTTGTTCAAGGCGGAATGGCGCCCCTAACTGGATTTCTCTATCTGCTCAAATGCGCGACTAAAAGATCCAGACATCCAAGTACGAACGACCTTCAGTCGGATTTTTTACACTACGCCCGACGAGCTGAACTTATGCCGGGTCATCTATCCCCATCGGAGGTCTCCCATCATATCAAAAGCGCATTCCACGAGTTATTAACTCCCAATGACTCTCAACAGGGTATACAGAGTTGGTCAGAAAGCCATCAGGTGTTCAGAGCATTCCCTGTTTTTCATTTGTCCAAGGTCCATGAGAACATCAATTCGCTCATTCTGTTAGCCGTGACAACTGCAGCAGGGATAGGATCATTTCCCGCACGTTTCAAAGATGATTCAGGTTTCGTTCGGGAGCATCTGAAAGAGGCTCATGAGCAGTATGGTAGACTCGAATCCTGTAATGTGCATCCCATGGGAAGCTTTTTATATCATCTAGCTGCCTCTGCCGCAATATGCTTACCAGACGATGGGAATGCCGAGCCGCTGGAGGCACTGAAGGCGGCAGAAGAAATCCTAGAGTATCCCTCACACAAGGAAGCCCTAGATGCTAAATCAAATGTACCACTTTGTTTTTCTAAGGGCTCCACTTACACGATTGTCAACCTATTGAATGTCACACCACTCAGTTCTCTACTGCTCGCCAGTAGTTGCACACGTGCATCAAGTGAAGGTCGCCTTCATGCTGCGAGATATCTTCTTGAATCCGGTGCCGATCCACATTCGGAGATTCTTGTGGATTGGCCCGCAGGTTCCCCCAAGAAACCTACTTTTCCATACAGACAGACTTGTCTTCATCACTGTGCTCGATTTGAAAGCAGCTCACTGGTGAAACTATTTCTCCAACATAAAGCAAATCCCTATCTTAAGGACAGCATGAAAATGACGCCTCTAATGTATGCTGCGTTGAGAAATGACAGAGACGTGATTGCTGCATTTCGCCACTTCGGTTTTGAACCACACATTTCCTCTCCTTCGAAGAAGTCCTCTGCCCCGCTGGAGTCCCAGGCAATCTGGCCGTGGCTGTTGATTCCAATGCAGATTGGGTCTGCTTTTTCTGGCCGTCCGATATTCCGTCAACGCATGGCAGATGGCAATGGTCAGCAGGGTAGTATTTATTATTATTACTCCCATTATTCTTCTATGTTCGAAGAATCTGTGTCTAGAGCATCCAGAGATCATTCAAATGATGTGGTGGAAGTGTTTGAGGAGGAATCATCGTCATCTAGATAGAAAATTGCTGTATTGCACACAAGCGGGCTTGAGACGCCCCTAGATACCTAGCTTTTGGGACGTTGTGGAAGGGCCAATGACCTTACGAAGAGCGACAAAATTCAGGGTGGCTAGGTAGAGTGTAGGAACTTCGAACTGGTGAGCGAGGTTCTAGGTATCAGACTCAATTCAGTCACCCTGTCATAGGTTCGGTAGTTGCCATTCTTGTTATTAGACTGCTCACGTGGCGCACGGGTTTGAAATCATCATAACAGCTCTATCTAGTCCATCATGGATTTGATTGTATTGCCGCGTGAGGCTTTGCCAATTGCACCTAATATGACGGGTTGATAATAATAGAATAATGTTGTTTCTGTAGTGATTGTGCCATTAGACATACCCCAAAGGTATCCCTGGCATTGTTTTCCCGTCAGAACATCTGGGTTGTCTGTCAGATACATGCTCATCAAGAAGGAATCGCCCATTTCCATCTTAATGCAAGGGTGTAGGTTGGGAGTCTTATGGACTTGCATTTCCACCTGATCCCCCCAGGAGGAAATTGGTTTGAGGGAGTTTATTGATTGCGGGGGCCGAACCTAGTTCTTTTGCGGACTGCTCTGTGGATGTAACACCTGAAGGGAGGCCTATGTATGAGTAATTTTTTACTTAAGATAATCACCTGTTCAAAGCCAGGGACATGTTTTTGTCTTATATAGTCCGATTCAACTATTCAAGACAAGTTCACAGATACAACTCAATGACTAATGACAGCAGTTGCTGTACCACTGCTGTTACAAAAGCTGCCCTTGTTCAATATTTAGGCTATCCTTGGATATGTTCTATGCTGCGATTTAATTTGATACTTGTTGTGGTTTGTTTTAATTCTGTTATTCTGATTTAATCTATTTTATTCTGATTCGTCTAATTAATTGTTGACAGGATACGAAATTAGTGTTTGGCTTCATCTAAGATAGTCCTCTTAAGGATAGTATTATAGTACATACGACCATAGGGTGTGGAAAACAGGGCTTCCCGTCCGCTCAGCCGTACTTAAGCCACACGCCGGCCGGTTAGTAGTATGGTGGGTGACCACATGCGAATCCCGGCTGTTGTATGTTTTTCTTTTTTTTTTTCTGTCAATTTGTTAGTTAGGTAGAGTGTCTTGCGCCTTGTATTCTGGTTCTAAGTTTTGGAAACTTGCGTCTGCGGGCGTGCATGTGTGCCTTGGGTTTTACCGCCACCTTGTACTCTGTATGTAAGAATCATTCCGGATAGGGTCAAGCAGCTAGAAGTTACCAGCATGGCCTGGAAGGCGATTGTCAGAGATCTGTCAAAGATGACATGGAGATCAGGTTCCACTCTGATATCTCATCACACAAATCGCTTCTAAATGGAAGAAGAATTATGATCTGATTTCTCTGAAAATGTAGGAAGCTATCTTGCTATATAGAAGCAGAGGACTAGAGAGAACCTCCTACCTAGCGAGAGGCCTAATCGGGCAGGTGCAGTGAATCCACTGGCATATACCTTCTGAGACAATTGTCTCGTTCCCAATGTAATCATGGTATATTTGTACATGCTTACTGATAGAGTGTGTAAGACTTCAGCTCTTTTGGCAGGAATAGAGATTTCTGTTACGGAAACCCAACGAGGTTAATACCCCACGAAAGGCGGCACAGCCAGGCAGAAGCCCGACGCCAATCGATTGACATAAGGATCGGAACCCTTGCACAAAGATGACTACGAGTCACGTGATACGATCACCTACTCCTAACGTGAGATAGAGGAGTAGCTACGTGATGCGATCACCTACTCCACGCCTACCCCCAGGGAGTAGCCGGAGGAGTAGGCACCAAGGGAAACACATAATTGGAGCGACTCCGGAAGTGACCACAAAGGAGTCACCACGGGAGTAGCCAAGGAAGGATATATAAGAACACTCATTCGCCTGTATCTACAGTTTAGTTAGTCGCGTTCAATAACACTCTCAAGTCTGAGTATACATTTCAAGTCTAGCTTCTACTCGCCCACACTCAACCTAAGTGATCAGGTTTTCGTACCTGACACACCTTACTTCTCTTATCGCTTATTAGTCACCTTTGGACCATCGGGTCACTCGTCGATCGATACAGTAGCACGGCCACTGTGTGAGGCCTCGGGTTAGTACAGAACCCCTCGTCGATAACTGATAGGAAGACCGCAGGGCGCTCTTCACCCCGAATAACCCAAGTCACCAACGCTAGGACGGCAGAAGCGAGAAGGGATCCTAGGGTCTTGACACATTGAACGCCAGTTAGCACGAGTAGAGTCTTGGGTTAACTTAAAAACAAATCGAAACACCATCATGTCAAACAACAACAGAACGGCCGCGCCAACCCCTAGGACTAGCAGTGGAAGCAGTCAGGGAGACGCCAGCGCAGGACCAACCCCAGCAGATGTCGTTGGCATGATCGAGCAACTGCAGGCGCATATCGCAACCTTAGAGGGGCGACTTGCGACCCGCACTGTCAAGGTTAAACCACCAGAGGCATTCGACGGCACTCGTTCTAAGCTTCGTGCATTCCTAACGCAAATGGACATGTACATGAAGATGAACGGAGAGAGACTCGCCGCCGAATCCGACAAAATTGTATTCGCCGCCACGTACCTGAAGGGTCCAGCGTTCGATTGGTTCGAACCCTACATCAGGGACTTCCAGGACAACACCGAAAACGATCGAGGCGACGAAACCAAAGAAGTGTTCAAGAGCTATAACAACTTCAAGGAACGACTCCGTACGACATTCGGGGACATCGATGCGGTTCGAAACGCAGAACGAAGATTGTGGCGACTACGACAGTTCAAATCAGTCAGCCAGTATGCTTCAGAATTTCAGCAGGTCATATCTCAGTTGGATTGGGATGACGACACCTATATTGCACGATTCGAGGAAGGGCTCAAACCAGAAGTTCAAGAGAAACTGATCTGGATGGAACGGCCAGGAACCCTCAGCAAGATGATCGAACAAGCAGTTAAGATCGACAACAAGTTATTCGACTTCAACATTAGGCGCAAAAATCAGTCAGGCAACAGGTACCAAGGCAACCAGAGAACAAGTCAGTACAACGCCAATGATAAACGACAAGCGCAGCCAAAGAGCCAAGGATACAGCGATCCTTATGGGCTACAACCAATGGAGCTAGACGCAGCTCAACACCGAGAAATCCCTAAGGAAGAAAGGGAACGACGTCGAAACGACAGAGCATGCTACAATTGCGGAAAACAAGGCCACATGGCAAGGGAATGCCGATCGGGCCAACAACAGAAAAACAACAATAGGGAACCAAGGAAGCAGTTGAAGGCTACCCGTGAAGGAGCCAAAGGTGCTCAGAACAGCGATAAGGGCAAAAGGTCCAAGGCGGACCCACCAGCCAAGAAATTATGCGCAACCTACGAAATCGATTGGTCAAACGAACCCACGGATCTAAGCGATCATTGGTGGAGCGACGACAACGACTACGACATAGAGGATCAAAGCCATCCTAACGAAGAGAAAGGGACGGTGGAGTCCAACAGCGGAAGCGACAAATTCCACGCAAGAACGGATGGGTCCGATAAAGCCATCAGCACAAATGAGCCAGTCGAAAAGGACGAATTTCCTAGTATAGTCTGGGACGATATCGATCCGCTCGACGAAGAATTCGGTACTCAAGCGAGAGGCCCAAGGCTGAGCTTAGAGACTGATACACCTCAAAATCCCCTAGAACCAGAGAAAACCGCAGAAGGATATTGCGAAGAAGCCGACGCACGGGACGTCGCACGAGCATTGGTCAAGCTAAGGAAGCAATCAATTGTGACCAACAGAATCAAAGAGCTCAACGGAGCCATCGAGGCAAACATCCGCAGCAGGGTCAGGGATTGCACCCACTGGAACCTAGAATGCTGGGAAAAAACCAACGAATCATGGGAAACACACCGATGGAAGCACGCGCAACATTCAGGAACATGGTGCGCGCAGTGTCAGAAAGACAACACCTGGTACCATGACGAACTCGCGAAACTCGAGCACAAACGACGTTCCAACCCACATGGATACTGCGACTATGAATGGTGCTTATGTGCCCATTTTAGGACGCACCCACGGCACAAGGAACTACCATGGATAGTGTGCTACGACAAACATTGCCGACTGCATGACGCAGAAAAGGCAGCGTCAGGATACTCGCCAAAAATGCCAAAGAGCGTGGATGGATGGGGAACAACGTGCCCATGTTGGGACCTACAGTGTTCTTGTAGGAGTTACCCGCATCACCCACACCACAAATACATGGCATGGATGCAGTGCTACGATGACAAGTGCAGGACGCACTACGACGACAAGTTCATCAGCACTTACCTACCACAACTACCGCCATACGAGCGAGCACCAAATTGGCGAAACAAAAAACAGATCGCAGCAACAGGATGGGGAACCCATATCAAGTTTATTGCACGAGTGCACGGACAGGCAGCCAAAGTGATGCTTGACTCCGGAGCAACGGGCAACTTCATGGACCCTCAATTCCAACAGAAACTGGGCATCGAAGGCATCAGAAAAGCCAACCCAGAACCTATCGCAGGACTGAACGGTGAAAACTTAGG